TTCAATACTTGTGTGCTGTTTGAACCCTCCGTTGCCACGGTGATGATGCTACCCACGACGACGACGAAGATGTTAACTTTGCCTCAAACGTCTCTATCGCTTTGGCCGACGTCGCCATCACCAGGCAAGAAGCTCGCCGTTGGTGTTGGTGTTGGTGTTGATGTTGACGTGCCTGCATTGATGAACTTATGGCCGGTGGATAACGTAACTACTAGTACTACTTCGTCTTGTGATAGCGCCATCTCATTGATTAGTAAACTAGAACATGATCATGAGTCTGACTCTGATATCGATGTTGATACTTCTCTTCACTTGTAAACATCAAATTTTCTCTTCATCCAATCCCCTACTTGCTTCAATATTAAATGCTCAATTACTTATTCTCTATCAAATTTTTCGTTAACCCACGATGCTAATTAAGAAGTTGATCATGGATTTATAATTGGGATGAGACAATATCATACCATTGTAAAGATCAGAGATTCCTAACGGTCTTAATCACATTCATGCACAAACAAACATGCAATGTTGATTATTAAGAAATGATCATTTCGACCATGCGGGTATGTTTTTTTTTTTTGTTCTTTTTTACTTAAAATACAATGGATCTAGCATTGTTGTTGTGTTCTTGATGAAACCCACTTCGTGTTTATACGAATGGAGACAAAGAGATGGGTTGGATATATAGTACGTAGTTGGTAGCCATTAAAACAAGTTAAAGAAATAGAGAGGGAGATTTTGGTGGCGAATGTGGAAGTTAGGTAACTATTTTGTTGGAATGTGAAGGAAAATTTTGTAAATGTTTGGTTTTGTTTTAGGGTTTAAGAGAGACGAATAACCATCGTGGGACGATCGATCGAGCGGTTGTGAGCATCTTAAAATTTGTTTTGTAAGTTAGTATCGTGTAAGCTAGTCTGAATACTCACGGATAAGTAGTAGAGAGGAGAGGTTTAGAAATGCACGTGAAAAATGAAGGGATGAAGAAGGGGATAGCAGAATTGTCCCACAAGGGACAGAAACCACATTCCCAGAGTTGAACCAATCATTTTAGGTTATTTCAGAGTTGGATTTGGCCAACATTTACCCCATATTTTGGGGGGTGTCTTTGCTCTCTCTCTCTTGCCTCTTCCTAGTTTTGTTCATATTTCTGCCTAATAAACCCAACAAAAAATGCTATATTTGTTCATATTCTCCTTTCACCTTATGTATAATTTTCAAATCTTGATTGCCATTTTTGGAAGCTTCAGAGAAACGACAATGGCGGCATTATTGTTCCTCCAACCTGGACAACCACGTTTGAGTTACTATTACATGTTTATGTTCAGTGGGCTTCATATTCTGCATCGATCATAAAAAGGGTTTCCAATATGGGAGCTCGAGGAAATGCCTCAAACCCTAGTAATAGGGTTTGTCTAATAATATGTATTTAAACCTTTCATTCCCTCGAGGTTTTAAAAATGTGGGATCTTACAGTGACCGTAACGGCCTAAATCCACAGCAGACAAATATTGTCCTTTTAGGCCTTTACTTTTTGGGCTTCCCCCAAAGTTTTCAAAACATGTATGCTACGAGAAGGTTTCCAGACCCTTATAAATAATATTCAGTTCCTTGTCCAACTGATGTCTCACAACTCACCTCCCTTCAAGACTAGCATTTTTCTGCATTTGATGATATAGGTCTCTTCCCCTCAATCCATCCCCTTCAGGGCCCAACGTCCATGTTGTCACACTGCCTCGTGTTTCCCTTTCGGAGCTCGGCCTCCTCCCTCCCAGGTCACCTGTGATCCCACAAAATATTAGACAAAATTTAAGAATGGTTATATAACTACTGGTGTCAAATGTTCATCCAAATAATTCTCATTAAATGAATTATTATTATTATTAAAAAGAAGTAAAAGAAACCCAACGAAGATTGTTCCCCATTATCTTAGCTGAAAATTGATACCATGGTAAAAACTGATTGTTTTTTCTCGATTACTATCTAAGTAATCTTGTAATTATGTTAGCGGCCCGGCTGCCTCCTCGGTCATATCACAAAGCCCAATGGAATAGCCCGTCAACATATTGGGCTTCAGCAATGGCCTGTTAGTATAGTGGGCTACAAGTATGGCCCGTTAATATAATGGGTTACAGCAAAGGCCCGTTAATATATTGGGCTAGAGTAATGGCCCATTAATACATCGGCTAGAGGAATGGCCCGTTAATATATTGGGCTACAGTAATGCCCGTCAATATATGGGCTACAGCAATGGCCTGTTAATATATTGGGCTACAAGAATGGCCCGTTAATATTTGGGCTTCAACAATGCCGGGCTTCCGTTATGGCCAGTTAATATATTGGGGTACAGCAAGGCCCATTAATATATTAGGCTACAGCAATGGCCCGTCAATATATTGGGCTACAGCAATAGGCTGCAGCAATGGCCCGTTAATATATTGGGCTACAGAAATGGCCCGTTAATATATTGGGCTACAGCAATGGCCCGTTAATATATTGGGCTACAGAAATGGCCCGTTAATATATTGGGCTACAGAAATGGCCCGTTAATATATTGGGCTACATCAATGGCCCGTTAATATATTGGGCTACAGAAATGGCCCGTTATATATTGGTCTATAGCAATGCTCCTTTAATATATTGGGCTCCCTGATGGCCCATTAATGCTGTAGCCCAATTTCAAACTCCAAAATGATCGGCAATGGCCACTCATTCTCAGCCATAAATTCCCAGTTTAGAACTGAAATGATATGGTCTTAACTTACCATTAACAATACTAATCCTCCATTAACGCGTAGTTTAATCCCGTCAACGAAACACTCTACATTCTGGATAACATCTCTTCTGCCAACAGTATGGCCTGAGCTCAAGCTCGATCCACAAACTCAACAACAATGGCCACCTCTCTCAGAACTAGAATCCACTTCTCAATCTTCCCCACTTCAAAAAACCCACCAATATCTCCCCCTTTAATTCCGATCAACGTCCCAACCCCTCTTAGAAGCCCTTTCCGGCCACTTGCATCTTCTTCGCCGCCGAAATCTCCGGCCAAATCCCCGAAGAATACTTGGCCAACGGATCTCAAGGCAATCGAAGCACACCCAATCGAGAGCTCAAGGTTTCTGATCATCGGAGCCGTTTCAGTGGGCGTTGCCCTGTTTCTGATGGGTTCCGACGGGGAAAGGGCTTTGGCTTTGGGCCCTGAAGGGCCTTTGGTGGAGGAATTTTGGGACAATGTTAGAAGATATGCGATTTACGCGGTTACTGTGAGTAGTGGTGCTCTTTACACTATCCTTCTCCCCATTTTGGAGCTGCTGAAGAACCCCATTACTGCTGTTCTTGTTTTAGCTATTTTTGGGGGTACCATTTTCATTATCTCTCAAGTGCTTTCTGCTATGGTTGGTGTCAATGAGTTTTCTTATGAATATGCCTATTGACCAATGAAATGAAGTTTCAATCTTATCTTGATTTTTTTCGAAATTATATCCCAATTGTGTCTGAAAAGAATTGCGATCATTCCGATCCAACCTATTCAAATTTAGAGACGGTGCTCCAGCTACTTCTGCTAAACCAGGAGGGCTAATTGCTTACGATCGAAGAGCCGGCTGGGGATGTCCGCCATTAATGGAGTATAAGGTCTAAGAGCCACATGAAGGGCCGTGTTCTTCCTCTGTTCTTCCTCTCCTTCTGGAAATCTTCTCCTTTTCTTTTTCATCTTCCTTCTTCTTCTCTGTTCTTCCTCTTCTTTGAGCAAAAGCGGAGATCACCGAAGTCAAACCAGCACATCACATCAACCGAAATAAGAATATACGATCCATACCATTCCAGAAGGAAGCGGAAGAACGAAAACCGAAAGAATTTTGTTGTTAAAATGATGTGAAACCATGGGCCCTTACCAGAAAAACAAATTCCCTAATTTGCATTAATTACATTTGAAAAAAATTCGAGATACAAATTTCACAATAGCTTGAATGTGAGGGTGTTGCCCATATTCTTCCTGTTTTCCTCTTCTTCCACGTTATCAAGTTCAAGACGCCTTTTTTCCCTCTCTGATTGAAAAGGCATGTATTTATTAACAGAGAATGGACGTCTGGTTTAGGTTGCATCCATGTATTCTTCTGTGGACTGCTGGTTTTGGTTCACCAGATTCACATTCAAATATGTGAAGGAAGCGTTATGAACTCCCCACACCCTTAATTCCTTCTTTTCTCTCCACCTAACTCCCCATTCCAGATTTTGAATCCATATTCAATTCTAAATTCCATTGAAAATTACTTCACGAAATCACCACAGCCACTACCAACCTTCCAAACAGAGCTAACCATCAATTAATTCTGGCACAAAACCAGTATATAGTTTTGTTTGTTCTTTTTGTTTTCCCTTTCCCCTACCTATAAATATAGTTGCTTCCCATTCCCATTCCCATTCACCGCCTCTTAACTCAAAACATTCCCTTTCTCTCTGTTCCTTCCTTCCAAACAGAGATGGCCATGCCTTTAAAATGGCTGCTTCATTCAACAAGTTACCTTCTCGGGAACCCGATCGAGGTCCCGATAAGCTCACAAGGGAAAAGGGGTTGTGAAGAAATATGCGATTCTGGGTTTCAAATGCCTCTTCATTACCCTCGTTACAACAAGGCAGATTACCAGAAGATGGAGGAATGGAAGGTGGATCTGCTTCTCAAGGAATATGGCTTGAGTTTTCATGGCAGTTTGGAGGAGAAGAGGGCCTTTGCAATGGGGGCGTTTACATGGCCTGATCAGAATTAAGGCTATCATCTCTTTCAAAACAAGCACTCCACTGTTTCTTGAGAGCTCAGCTCAGCCAGTTAATGGTGTATGGTGTTAGTGCCTATGAATTCATAATGTTCATACGCTATGGAGTATCCAACTTTCTATTAGTCCAACACAGTTTCTAATAGCCCATCAGTTTTCTGTATAATAAGAAGGGCAAGGCTTCTTTTGTTTCTACTTTCTTTCTGTAGACTTTGTTGTGAAGTATAATAATTGAAATCAGCTAAAGTTTTCAGAAATAAGAACGACAAACAAGTAGAAGGCTGCCTCATTCATCTAACTATGTTCAAAATATTCAGTATATTTCTTATAAGCTTAGGAGAGATGTTCATACCGAGATTGATATAAATCATTCATCCACGATTCAAAATGACGTATGCTGAATTGTCCAGATGCTTGTGATACGATACCGTACAACGCTCGAGAGCCTCTGACGATAATTCTGCATCTCTTCAACGTTCTAGCCAGGCATGTTCTAACTTATAGAACTTAAAGAACTGCTTGTGATATGCAGTTCTCTTCCTTCCCAAATACTCAATCATGCACAAAGTATAGACGCAGATGAATTCAAATTCGTAGAATCCCTTTACAGAATCATTATTAATCATTTGGTGATTCAGTCAAATCCATAGCTGCAGTCCCGTCACCGTCTGGCATTCTCCTGACCTCGTTAAGAAGCCTGGTGAGCTCTTTCATTAGTTCCTTACGGACGTGCTCGCAACGTTCCTTGGTGACAGACGCTTCTGCAAAAAGAGCCTCAGTAAGGTGCTGATATTCATGAAACCAATCGCCATCCTTACTCTGAATACCATGACCATCACTTGAGCCTAGAGAGCTTTGCCGTCTCCATCTATTTAGATAATATTTATCAGGAAGCTGAAAGTAATTCTTTATAATGAATATGCGTAAAGCATGTCTGCATAGCAAGCCTGAGGATTCAAATTCCTTACAAGAGCAGTGAATCTGTTCACTCTCTGCAATCCACATCACAAGGCATTCTCCATCCATTTTCTTAAAGTGGCGTACGAGATATGATCCATCGGCCATTTCAGATGCAGCATACTGCATGGCTAACACTAATTCATGCTGCAAAGCATTGAAAGCAAAAGGGGTGAGGATGCTTCGTGCATGTTCTTCAATAGGGATATTTGTCTTAGCTTGCAAATACTGCATCTCCTGATGCTCATGGCCTTGGAAGTTGGCTGAAATGCCAACCTGAAAGAATTTGAAACAACAAAAATGAAAGATTCAAGAACAGTACAATAAAAGATTTTATCAAAGGAAGTATTTGATTTCCCAGAAAGTTACCTTCTCAAAAAAGCTACACAAACACGTCTGTGCATTAAAAACTCCTTTTAAGAATGAATCAACAGATTTGAAATAGGCTGGTGTTGCCATTTGAGCTAAAAGACAACCTCTTATGTACGACGGTACCCAATATTCCCGAAAAGAAAATAGTAAATCAATGTGCTTGTCCGAAACAAGGCCGAACATCGATACCATTCGACCCCATCGAATATCGAAATCCTCTGTACTCTCCACAGAATACAGCAAATCAAATTCAGATTTGAACTCTGCATAATGTGATCCAAGATGAAGAGAAAACCAACTAGATACCTTTGACAAAATATTCCATTTAGGAATTATGTGCTTAGTGGCAGGTAATTCAGTTCTTATTGCATCTCTAAGCCCTGGATCAAGATCAGTCAAAATTGTCTGCGGGAATGTTCCTCTCATGAAACGAATAAAGGTCTGTAATTTTAAGGTGAAGATGAATAAATTTTCAGAACAGCATAAACTAATATGAACAAATAACAACAAAGAGAGTAATATACTATGTGTACCTGCAAAGCCCAAGCAAACGACCGAGGCGTTTCATCTTGCAACAAAACACAGCCAAAGAAAATAGTCCTACCATGGTTATCAATGCCAAGCCACACTCCCAATAGTAAGCCATAAGTGATTGAAGAATAAGTAGTGTCAAAATAGACTACATCCCCAAACATGGCATAAGCATTAACAGAATACCCATATGACCAAGCAACATGTTCGACCTTATCATTTGAATCAACTGTAAAGTCATAAACAAACTCTTCATCCGATTCCTTAGTGGCTTTACATGCCTCAAGAAGCTCCATTGTATCAATCTCTCGTCTCTCATTTAGCAACGCGTCGTGTTCTTGAACAATCTTCTTACGATTTTGAACAAAGTTTCTAACATCTCTCTCCAAAAAAGGCAACTGACCTCCATGAATGCCCTTTTCCAATTCCAATACCTTTACTATACGATGAATGGGAAATCCAGCTTTGGAAAGCAGAAGTATGCGTTCTTGGTCGGCCTCGTGAATTTTACGATACGCAGGAAGGAGGCGAACTTGGTCATCTTCAAGGAGTTCATGGTTATGTACATTGCTGAATTGCACTACAAACCACTGTGCAATTCCTTCACATACTTCCTTTGACAAGTACATCTTAGCATCACACCCACAACGCACAGATTTCCTATCTCTATGATGCTCCCCAATGGGCTTTTTCTTAGCAGGTGCAAATCCTGAACGATAACAAACAAAATCTCGTTTATAAACACCCAATTGTGGGCTAAGTCTTGATCGCTCTTTCCTAATGGAAAACCCATTGTTCCTAGCGAAATTCCCATAATACTCAAACGCATCATTGTCATTCTTAAACACCATCCCCACATAAGGGGCAACCATGGCTTCAGATGAAACCCTTTCGGACTTCACTAACTGCGCTGCAACACAAGGTTCTTCACCCTCTCCTTCGTACGAAACATAACATTTCCAATCCCCACAAGGGCATTGCTGCCGTCGAATCCATACGTTTTTCGATGGAATGGATGTCATTGGCTAATAATGCATCAAATTTCTCAACACTAACGAATCTATTGATGACCCTCCTTTACAGACATGACAAGAATTTACGCCAAGAGAAAGAGAGGCGTGATTTAGTGGGTTTGAAGTTGAATTGAGGTAAAAATTTACAAACCCAGAATGATTTACGTACCATAGATGATGGGAAGTGCGTGATTAAACCATCATTCCTCTTCGGTTCAAATCTCACCGGTTGGCTTGTGTTGTGTTCATCTCTCTCCAGTGTTTCTCCTTCGCTCCTTCGGAGTCCGGATGGTTGCACCGAACAGAAGAAGAGCTCACCCAACCCAACTTCGTTTTGGGCTTCTCTGTTTGTTGGACCTGTAAGAACATGTTGACCCTTTACTAGAGTTCAAGCAATTTCTTGAAAGTTCTTGCCATAAATTTTGATGCTTTAATTAGATTGGTTAGGGTTAGGTTGATCTCCTTCATAGCCTTTTAGGTTTTTGATAGGAAATTTAAATTCTTACCATTTTAATCCCTCCACTTTAATCTTTAAAATTATACATACAAAAAAAAGTTTTGAAATCATATCATTAATTTATTAAAATAAATATATAGAAAATAAAATAGAATAAATTTATTGAGACATAAACTTTATATCAAATAAATTACATAATTGATAACATTTATATTATAAGCGGTATAAATTAATTAATATTTAAGTGTTCGTCATAAATTAATTAATATTTCGTCAGGTCAAGAAATAATTGAATTCTTACTATAAAATTATGATAATTAGATTTAAATGTCTTGTATTGTAATAAAGTTTTGGAGCATGTCACGAAGTCGAAGAAAACAACACTGCTCAAAGTGGAGAGGAACGTCCTACATGGATCGAGATTACAAGTGACAGATTGAATATCTCCATATAAGCTTATGGAATGGTTTTAACATGTTCTTTGATATGATGTTATTTGATTACAAGCAGTATTTTGAACCCTATACAAAATTCTCGATCAAATTATAAGTTAATGTTAAAACTTTCAAGATTGTCTATTCAATCACTCGAGTTTGAGAAGTTTTGAATATCGACCCATTTAAAACTTCTCAAAATATTGAGACTAAATAAGTAGAATCTAAAAAGTTAAACTATCGAACTTATATATTTTAGAACGAAAAAGTAAAATTAGTAATTATGAACTTCGAGAATGGTGGGTAAGGCGGGGCACCATTTAGAACACGATTGGTCAAACTTGAAACGATCAGAGAATTGAACAGCAATGCCTTGAGAGCCAAACTGTTCGGAGTTTGTCAAAAGAAACTCGAGCTGTTGTTTGCTAACAACAATGGTGGCCTTGGGAAGTTTGCACAAAGCTGCAGGCTTGGTAATATCATCATCATCATCAATAAGAACATGAGCGGGAGGCGTAGCAGCCCCACGCCCAACTACTAGCACCGCCCTTGTTAGCTTTAGGCCAGCGATCTTCTCAACTGGCTCAGCCAAATCGTAGAGTTCTTCATGCAAACACATGAAATCCTTGATCCTTTGGAACGGCGGGAGATGGGGTGAGCTGATGCAATTTCCCATTTTTAGTCGATGTCAATGAACGAGGGCTTTGTCTTGGTTTTGTTGCTGATAATTGAGTTTAGCATTGCCTTTAAGTTTGTTCAACCTGCTAACCAATCACTTAATTAGGAATCATTATGGGATTTTGGTTATTTTTTTGTTTTTAAGATGGATTAATTAATCACTTAAATTTTGGTTTAGGACATGTAGATGGGTCCTAATCTATGGGCCCCACACGCATTCAGTTTCCAAAATTTCCACTCTTTTTATTGGTGGAAAATGAAATGGATGCCATATTTAAAATAAATAAGTGCATTTTTTTTTCTAATTCCACGTAGATAATGTGGAATAATTTTTTTATTTTTGTTTTATATGTTAGGTTTTAGAAATTGTGGTTGGTGGAATGATTTGGCAACTATATTCATACAAGTAATTATCTATGAATTCATAATTAAGTTACGTTTTAGGTTAATATATATTAGAGGATGAATTAAATAATTCAAACTACCTAACCTAAAATGTAAGGATTATTATTATTTTTAATTTGAATTGGTTCAAATTTTCGAAATACTGATAATTTAGTTCGGGTTAAGAGTTAGAACATTTTTGTGCAGGTTACTCAACCATCCCAAAATAAGATTCTCAATCAAACCCAACACTAATCTTAAAATTGTTATAAAAATGAAGAATACATAATAATCCTATGAATGTTTGATACGCGAGATTTATAAAATTTTAATTATTAATATAACATGCACGGTAAATAAACATATTTTTTTTATTAATTAAAAGAAACAAACAAGTGGATGACTCAACTCCAAGATAGAGAGTTGAGTTGAGCGAATCATATTCAGAATGATTTAAAATAAATTTTAAAGTTTTAGAATTTAATAATGAGTTTAAAAAAAAAAAAAAAAAAAAAAAACTATTGAAGAGCATCTTTGGTTAGACTTACAGTTACATATGCTTTAATCAAACTTTGTCCGATTGAAATCGAGTTGTTATGTCCTAATCATGTTATGGCTAACTCCATCACTATTTCTTAAAAATTCTATTTTTTTTTTAATTAAAACATAAATGATTTGTTGATTAAGAGAATCTATGATAAAGACAAACTTTATAATTTATAAATGTAATATGAAACAAACCAAATATCCTTCCATTCCATGGTTTTTATTTTTTCTGTTCTCACTAGGAACGTTTTTAGTTACAACTTTCAACATAAAGAAACAAAAAGGACACGAATTTTCAGCACCGTTCATAATTTACCGTCAGGATCACAATTACGAACATGGGTCTGATAGCAGTAGCACTCACAATCACATGATTGAGCATCCCGTTGGATTTTCTGGGTTGTAGTAATCAGAACCCTGCCCCATCGAATATCCCCTCCCGCCGTAGCTGTCGTAAACAGGTCGTCCAACATAGTACGGTGCCGCCGCCGCCGCCGCCGGTACCCCGTAGCCGTTGTATTGGTATTGGTATTGGTAACACGGCCGACCCTCGTAACATGAACTGCAGCAAACCGAGTACGGCAGCGGTGGGTAGCCTTGAACCGGTTGCGCCACCAGTTTTGGCTTCTCCCCTTCCGCCTTCTTCTCCTCTTTCTTCTCCTCCTTCTTCTTCTCCTCCTTTTTCTCCTCTTTCTTCTCCTCCTTCTTCTCCTCTTTCTTCTTCTCCTCTTTCTTCTCCTCTTTCTTCTTCTCTTCCTTCTTCTCTTCCTTCTTCTCTTCCTTCTTCTTCTCTTCCTTCTTCTCTTCCTTCTTCTCTTCCTTTTTCTCTTCTTTCTTCTCCTCTTTCTTTTTCTCAGGCTCTTTGATCTCGATGCTCTTAATGGATCCGTCGCCTTTGCAGCAGATTTTCTTCCTGATCTTTTCAGGCGAACAGCAAACCACTTTGATTAGCACCGTCCCTTGTTTGTCATTATAAACCTGATCTCGAATTTCTAACACAAAAAACAAAAAACCCATCAAAATAAACTACGGAAAGCTTCAAAATTTAAAACTTTTCTCTTAAACTAAAAACAGGGGAAGAACAGAGAGATTCATACGAGGGAATTTGGAAAGAACTTTCTTGACTTTCTTGTAGCAACGCTCGCATTCGAGGTCAACTTTCAACACCATAAGCACTACCTACAAGAAAAAAAAAAAAAAAAAAAAAAAAAGAAGGTTTTTAGAAGAGGGAATCGAAATCAGTGTGATGGGGAAGAACAGAGTGCGGGGAAGAGGAAGAGGAAGAAGGAACCTTTTCTTCCATGGCGGCCGCTCAAGAGAAGAAGCTCTGATCTGAAACTGAGCTGAAATGATTCCTCTTGGTCAATTGGGAATGGGATGATTAAAAAGGAAGCGAAGCGATCTGGAAACAGAGCAGATGGCTGTAAAATAAAAATGATTTGGGGTTTGTGTATTAATTGGATATGACCAATGTTATTACGCCACGTGGACTTGTGGAGAATTAGGCGTTGAATTTCAGGCCTTCTTTTGACGAAACTGAATTGTTTTTTCACGTCGTCCACATGTGCTGCCTTTGATTAAAAAAATAATCCTTGGTTTAACGATTTTTTTCGAAAAAAAAACAATATAATAAAAATAAATATATAAAATCGTCTCTATTTTTATTTAATTTAAGAAAAATAAAATAATAAGAGGGACAAAATGGGAAAAGAATTAAAAAATAAAACTCGTCGTTACACCGACGCCACCGACACAACCCGGAATCATGTGCGCAAATATTACACAATGGTGAGTCATGACCGGCGGCCGGTTAATTCTGGGAGCTTCCGAAAGGTTGAGGCCAACTTGCTTATCCCTTTCCGCTCGTAATTGGTGACAAGTGCACTTTGTGGGCCCTTCTTCTTTCCACGTCAGCCAATTAATTTTAAATATTTAACATAATAGTAATAATTATTAATTTGCTCAATGATCCCTTAAATTTATTTTAATTTGTTCACTAACTTCACCTTTTAATCTAAATAAAATATAGATTTAAAAAACCCTCCAATATAAGTTAAAAAGTCCCACACGATTCTTATTATAATTAAAGTGGGACAATAAATAATAAATATAATTATCTTTCAATCCCACGTCATACGAAGACGACTAAGAACTGTCCTCTTGTATTCTTGCGGAAACCCAGCAGTTAATATGAAGTCATCAATATTCCATACAGCTTGTTAAATTCGTTTTTATTTAATTAAAAGTAAATAAAGACGTCAAAAATATTATATTTGATCCGCTTTTTAAAAAAGAAATCATCTGTAAAGTGTAATGTAATATTTTAACATTTTTTTCGATTTTACACGGTGTTGGATGATGAAAGTTCCACGTCGGCTAATTTAGGGAATGATCATGTGTTTATAAGTGAGGAATACTAACTCCATTGATGTGAGACCTTTTTGGGGAAGCCCAAAGAAAAGCCATGAAAGCTTATGCTCAAAATTAACAATATCATACCATTATGGAGAGTTGTGTTCGTCTAACACACTGATTCTACTTGCATCATTCCTTATATTTAACCATTTTTACTGTACTTTAGTTATATGAAGTATGTTTTTTTTTTCGAATAACAGTATATATGAAAAAAGCTTATGAAAGTATAAAATTTGCAACATTTTTTATTTATATTAAATGTTTTGATAAATACGACAGTATGGGTTGGGCTGGGCCGTGCCGTACGTGGGCCGTAAAAATTTGAGAATCAAAGTGACGAAACGACAGAGAAAGAGGACAAAACGCAAAACTTGACGGCTGTTTTTTTGGCTTTCAAAAAGCATGACTTTTCATTTCCCTTTTCACCCTTCATTCTTGTTTTTTCGTTATTTTTACACACAAATCCTTTTTTATTTAATTTTAATTTTAATTTTAATACTCGTGAATTTAGTCTTTTTGTATTTCAAGAAATTGAATAAATGAAATGTGATGTTAAAATGGAAACATAAAATGTTTTACTTTTGAAAGTATAATTACTAAAATAGATCTTAAAATGGAAGTAACTTAACAGGTGTTTAAACCTTAAGCTTATAATTAGTAGGTAAAATGATTTTGATGAGTGTGTAGGTGGGTCCCTTGAACGAACCGAACCGGTTGAAAAAAATGGGTCTTGGGCAGGGCGACCCGAATGGAAGGCATTGGTGCGGGTGGGTTCCATTTTCTGATCATTATGCAATTCAATCTCTATCCACCAACCCTACCTAAAGTTGACTATACTTCTCCCAAATCCACACTTTTTTTTTTTCCTTAAAAAAAAAAAAAACAATTTCTCCTATACATTATTATTATTATTATTATTATTGTAAAAATTATTTGACTAACATGTGACACCTTTTTTCTTTTTATATAAATTCGTACTCATTCATAAAGCAAATACCCTTTTGTTTTTTTTTCTTTTTATCATTATTTTTTTTTCAAATATAATAAACAAAATAGCTATTTTTTTTTTTTTGTAAGATTACTTAATGATTAATTTATACATTAATCACTTGATTTTATTCTTAGGTAACCGTTAATCCATCCACTTACCATGAAATTTTTGTCCATCATTTTTATAGCGGTTCTCCAGAATTATCTATTGATCTTAAGCGTAGTAATTATGATGAAAGTAAAGGGCAAAATTGTAATGTTGAGTGAGGTAAAAGGGACATATGGATAGGCTGCATTAAATTCCTCCACGTCAGATTTGCACGTTACCGACCTTTTAAGCCTCTTACTCCACCACACCTATAAAATCCACAGTTGAGCAGAGAAAAAGAAAGAGAGAGGTGAATTTGAAGCCTTCAATTGCAATCCTAAAGCTCATGGGTGAAGTAAGCAAATTTCTCTCATTCCTTTAAGGGCATACACTATAACCCTTTTTAAAAAAATGTTTTTTTTAACACCTTTTACAGGAAATCAAGAGGAAGGAAGAAGGAGAAGATCAAAAGAAGGAAGAAACCAAACAAGACAAACAGGAACCAACTGAATCAGCAGCAGCCGCAGGAACAGAAAAGAAACAAGACACTAAGAAGAATGAAGAAGAGCCACCCTCTGAGATTGTTCTTAAAGTGGATATGCATTGTGAAGCCTGTGCTAGAAAAGTCGCCCGAGCCCTCAAAGGGTTCCAGGGTCAGTTTTTCTGAAACAATGTGACTGATAGTTTTGTGCGGTTAAATGTGAGATGTTTGAGTATAAGGGTGTTTTGTTAAATGTTGGTTTTTGAAGGAGTGGAGAATGTGACAACAGATAGCAGAGCAGGGAAGGTGGTGGTGAAAGGGAAAGAGGCAGATCCTTTGAAAGTGTGTCAGAGATTACAGAAGAAAAGTGGGAGAAAAGTGGAGCTAATCTCGCCATTGCCTAAGCCTCCTGAACAACAACCTAAAGAAGATGAGAAACAGCCAAAGGAGGAGAAAAAGGAGGAGGTAAAGCTATAGTTTTATTGGAAAGGAAAAAAAAAAACAAAGAAATTTTGAGAGAAAGCTCAAATATGACAATATATGCTAGCGGTGGACAAACACCGGACAGTGCTCCAAGAGGTAGACTGTGAGATCTCACACCGGTTGGAGAGGGGAATGAACATTTCTTATAAGGGTGTGTAAACACTCTCCCGATAAAACCATGAGGCTAAGGGCGATATGACGGACAATATCTGTTAGCGGTAGTTTTAGACGGTTACATCTAGGTTCTAGGCTCTCGCGTCTGCCTTTGTTCTTCTCTGGGTTCATAATTGGGTCCTGTGTTGTTGAGTGATCGAATATAGGATGAGAATTGGGAAGATGAAATGGAAAGTGAGGCAAAATTTGAAGGTTGGAAATGAAGAGAAAGAGAGAGCAGCGAATAGGAGTGGTGGTGAGTGGGAGTTGGGAGAACTGACGTGAAAACAACAAAACAAAAGAAAAGGCCTGAAAATGGAGACCCCACTCCACCTCACTTCACTCTCACCCCTCTCTGTTTCTGTCTCAGCAGCTCTCTCTTGGTTCCACACACATGCACATTACAGGCCTCTTCCCGTGTCTGTAGCTCTTATTTATGGCCTCCAAAGCCCTTTGACCCCACTCCCATACTTAATACCACAGACACATTGCCATCTACTCACGGGTCTTTTTTATCTTACTTTTTTTGTTTTTTCTTTTCACCCATCTGCGGGGACCCGACTTGTTTAAACAAAGACGTAAGGGAAAGAAATTCTCCTAAATTATGTCGGAGATTGAGATGGAGAATATGTTCCCCATCCTGACCTCGACCCATTAAAATTTCCAATAAACATCTAAATCTTGTTGCAGGCCACCCCCCCACCTCCACCAGTGGTAACAGTGGTACTGCAAGTCCAGATGCATTGTGAGGCATGTGCTCAAGGTTTAAGGAAGCGGATCAGGAAGATAAAAGGTACAATTTTTTTCTTTTCTGATACTTTAATGAGAAGAACATGTAAGAAAAATGGAGATTGTTTTGGCTGCAGGTGTAGAGTCCGTAGAAACAGAACTGTCCAACAATAGGGTGATCGTAAAAGGGGTTATGGATGCTACGACGCTGGTCAACGAGGTCTCGAAGAGAACCAGAAAGCCAGCTTCCATAGTAGTGAAGGAAGAAGAAAAGAAGGAAGAGGAGAAGAAGGAAGAGGAAAAACCAGCAACTGAAGAGAAACCAGAGGAGAAGAAAGAGACACAGGAAGAAGATGATAAGAAGTTTGATATCAAAAGGTTTGAGCATTGGCCAACCAAACACTACACTGAGTACGCATATTATTACCCTGAACGGATTTTCAGCGATGAGAACCCCAATGGCTGTTCAATAATGTAGCATCTCACTGCACTTCCATTTTGTAGTTTGGCTGAATTTGCCGTTTTGTATCTTCTGAGATACTTGTATCCTGTGTTAATGTATGTGATGTTAATGGCTAATGGTAATCTCTCCGATGGTTTCACATTTTCAACTCTATTCTACTAGAACACGACGGTTTAATATTTTGGTATAACAGCTTAATCCCACCGTTAGCAGATATATCCTTTGGGCTTTCCCTTTCGAGTTTTCCCTCAAAAATTTTAGTATTCGTCCGCTAGAGATAGGTTTCCACATTCTTATGAAGAATGCTTTGTTCTACTCTCTAACAACTAATAACTAATGAGAGCCCATGGGTTAAGACTATATTGGCATCCTGATTGGTTCACTAGCAAAAGCTACATGATAGGTTGATAGGTAGAAAGGGAGTGAAATGAAAGATCCTGCGACAATGATGGGAAAAGGATGCTAAATGGTTAAAATGCATGTCAGATCAAAAAGAGATGTCATCATGTAAGGTAGAGTCTTGAAGAACGATCCATTCAGACGTCCTGGTTAATTCAGAAGTGTTAAAATGAAATGGCATCAACACCATATAAAGCTACAGTAACGAAAAATGGGTTTAGATTTTGAATTTCTTTCACACGGGATATGCCTATACTACATTATCTCTGCAACGATTTATAGAGGACAACGGTTACGTACTTTGCTAGAAACCGGTTTGTCATCCCGAGTGCCACGACAGATGGACCGCCCCTTTCCTTCTGCATATAAAGATGATTCAGCATAACATGCTGAGGTCTTGACAAAGGAGGCAAAATCTCATTGTATGGGCAAGGCATGTCAAGCAACGTGGATTTCAAGTGAGGAGGAGCCAATGGTGGCTCCTTCGAAAAATCTTCAGATCCAAGCTGCAAACTGCTGTAACTCGACTCCGGGGATTGAGGAGGTTCAAAGCTAGAAATGCTTTCAATGTCTTCTGGGACATAGTCCTGCAACAGTAAAATCAGCCATGGTAATAGCTTGTCCTACTTCCATTCATAAGCAGTGGTGTGCAAAAAAGAGATGTTTTTACCTGCAAGTCCAAGATATTGTAAGCATTGCCGGAATCATCTTGAGCCCAAGGTAAGTCAGGAGCATATCTCCATTGTCCATCAGCAATAAACCTATACTGGTAAACACCAGAAGGCAGTACCTTCACAATCGTGAAGTCCTTCCCAGATCTCTGCAAGGGTATTCTGATCAAGAACAAGACAAAAGGTATCAGATGGCGGTTGATTAAGTACGAACCGAACAAAGAATCAAGATAAGAGAGCAACAAACTTCATTTTCCAGTTATCCCAAGATCCCTCAACAGCTACTTCCTTGCCTCCATGACTCCACGTTATCATTGTTGGGATTCCTTGTTCAGTGCTAACATCATCAACCCATGAACTGTTATTCATCCAAGACTGGCTTGTGTTGTGCACCTCATCAGGTCTTGGCAGTGGAACAACTGGTACCTGTAAGAAGATAGAACTCGAATCATGGATATCACAGAATATTCCACAGACTAACCTACAGTAATATCAATGATAAGAACTAAAGAAGAACATTGATGTAAACTTTCTAGACATTCAAAGTGAATTACAAACTACACAAGTTCAAAGAAAATCAATTTTCTATCAAGATTCCAACGAGAAAATGAAAGAAAGAGGCAATCGATCGAATTTGCACAAAGAATTGTAGTAATAATAGCCCTGTAGATTCACCAAATTGTCCATTTATTCATGTTGGACTTAAATCAAACATGTACTGTGCAGGAAAAGTAAGGACACGAAAAGGGCAAGATTCCCCAGAAGCTTAGCGGAAAAGGAAACAAAAGGCATTTCCAATTATACAGATATCAATTTCATCGAACTAGAGAATTTTCAGAACCAGAAACACAAGTAAAGGCAAAGTGAAGGGAACTAACTTGAGGAGTGAACATCAATGGAGATGGAATGGCGCGAGGACTACGAGGAGGGGAATGACCCATCAGCTCAGCAGGCGGATCGCCGGTGTGGTAGCCACGGTGGGAATCGGGCGGTGCCGCCAGGCCATCCGGTAGACTCCCCTGACCACCACCACCGACTTCCTCATCTTCTTCTTCTTCTTCCGCCCCAGATGGGTTGCCATCCTCATCTTCTCTCCCGTTCACATTCCCCATTAATACGAACAAGGATAAATGGAAAGTAAATTTAAAAAAAAAAAAAAAAAANGGGGGGGGGGGGGGGGGGGGGGGGGGGGGGGGGGGGGGGGGGGGGGGGGGGGGGGGGGGGGGGGGGGGGGGGGGACGATTCTCCACAGAAAAAGAAGGAACAAAATAAAAATCAAGTGATTAGGGACCACAGCAAACCCTCGAAAGGCTATGCTTCATAGTTCATGTTACAGAATTGGAAGGAAAATGAAAAGGAGAAAAACTGTGAAACAGAGTGAAGAAAAGATTAATGTTTTGTCCGATGAGTTAGGAAGATCGAATGGTGGCCCAATGATGATGGGGTATAAGGATAACAGGAATCATCTTCACGGCATGGTTGACAAAGTCCTGAATCTGATCCCACGCCTCGCTTCCCCCCCCCCCCCCCCCCCCCCCCCNCCCCCCCCCCCTCTCTCTCTCTCTCATGCTTTCTTTCACCCTCTCATCGTGGATGGCACGTTCCAACTTCCCTCTCAGCGACAGTAATATTTCCCATTTTCCTTCATTTTACTCATCAAGATTGCATCTTTCTACGTTGGACCCAATCAATTTTCCAGTGTCTTTTGTTTTTACCCCCATAATAACTTTTATTTTTTGTGGGGTTTTGGGAATTTACCCTCTTTTGGAATTTGGTTTATGGGAACTGTTTGTAGTTAAATTATTTTTATGGGTCTTTGCAAAAAACTAAAGCAAAACGTTCACAGCTTTTTAAAACCTGAGTTATTAATAGAAAATTGAAAGGACAAAGCATGAAATTCAGAGCATAGAGAGAAATCACAATCAGAGAGCAATGTGTAGAAGCATAAGCCTCGAGACTTTAGAACAACCAACGATCAGACAATACAGCTTACAGCAGTACAAGACAATTTCAGCTGCTGCTAATTCCACACGACACGATGAAGAACGTCAATTATTGATAGAGTGAACTACGCAAGCGTGGATTGATAAGCACTTCCAAAGGAGTGGCTTTCATTTCAACGGCGGCATCATTTGGGCGTTGATACATCGAAGGCAAAATAAGGTGTACCATTTGGAGCCCCCCATACACATTCCGGGGCACGCTCTTCTTCCTCCCCCAAAAGGGATTAGTTCAAATTGTTGACCCTTCACATCTAAGGGACTTGTGTTCAAAATCTAAGCTTTAGGAAGGAAAGATCTCGTGGAATCATTGAAATACTTTCTTGTAAGCTACTGTTTTTGCAAAGGAAAGGTAGAATTTTTGCAAAGCATAGTTCATTTTTTGTTATGAAAGTTTACACTCAACGAGATTGGATGCGTTCAGTCCCTAAGCGCCTCAGGGCAGAGGCAACCCGCATCAACCTTTACTTTCAGGCACGTTGTTGCTCATTAATTTTGAAGTTTATCATATGAATATCTTTCATCTTCTCCAAGCTTTGAAATTGAGTAATTTAGTTGTGAATAGCGAACTTTATATATGACCCGGCACATTTCAAGGTACATCGTAGACATGTTTCTCAACTGCTCTAGTGGTTAATTTCTACAAGCCTTTGGATTTACCATCATGAAACTGGGTCTTGTGTCCATATAGAGATACAGTGCAAGGATCAGTAAAACCAGATCTTCCTTTCCACCATCTCTCCAAGGAAGGAATATGCACCATTAATGAAAGAAATTCATCACTACATTATTTCAAGTTCAATCAATGTATCAGAAAGCCCACTGCCATACTTCCGTAACTCAGATTCAATAGTTTTAGCCGCCCCTTTGCTTTTTGACACAGGCACTTGAAGATTCACATGGAAAGATCCTTTCCTAATTGGCTCAACAGCTTCAGTCATCAAGGATTGCTGCTTGATGTAGTTGTATAGCTGTTGATGAAAAGGCTGGTCCAAGGAATAGCAATTTTGGCTTCCTTGATGACCCGATGATCGGGACGACGACAATGAGCTTTCTCTTTTGCAGAAATGTGGAAGAGATGAATAATCCATTATCTACAACAAACAGAGAATCCCATTACACTCAGTGCGACTATATTTATAATAACTCAAGCCCACCGCTAACATATATTGTCTACTTTGGCTCGTTACGTATCACCGTCAGTCTCGCGGTTCTAAAAACCTTGAGGAGAAGCCCAAAAAGGCTCCAAAGAGGACTATCCGCTAGCGGTAAACTTGGGCGGTTAAACAAAAATATGTGGTGGTCCATTTCCATTGACATTCTTTAAATAATGCAGGGCTTACCTTCAGCAGCTCATCTCTCCCACAACCTGGTAACACCTGAATTTTTCTCTTTGTCCTTTCATGTAACAGAGGCTTGACAACCTGCAGAGTATAAAAAAGATTATATGCCTTTAAATGTAACGACCCAAATCCACCTCTAGCAGATATTGTTGTCTTTGAACTTTTCCTTTTGGACTTCTCTCAAGGCTTTAAAAAGCGTCTGCTAAGAGAAGGTTTCCACACCCTTATAAATGGTGGTTTGTTCTCTTTCCCAACCAAGGTGGGACATCACATTAAACATCAGAAAAGTAGGGTTCAACCAAAGATCAATCTCTTCAATGGTTTACCTTCCAACAGGATGAAAAAACGTACGGTGCATTTACAATATAGTAAGCAGTCGTCCTCTCAGGGTAGTTCAGATCATCAATGGTTGATAAAATTGTCAATAACTGCAGGAACATAAACAGGAGCGCAGTTGAACGAACGAACGAACGAACGATGTAGAGATTCGTCGTAAATTGCATTTTTAAGGTATCAAAACACATCATAAAGTCTGCTGTAGTTTTGTTTATTATGGAGAATATGTCCTTCACCATTATGATCTTGCTTTAAAATAATGGTCAGAAAGAAATTCCTCTAAACAATGCTTCGAATCTTTTCTTTTCCTATCCTCAAAATTGTGAGGCTGGGATTCAAACCGACAAGAATCCTCCAATTCAAGGAAACAAAATAACTTCGTGATCTTATCGTGTGGATTTGTCGTTAATTTGGAAAAGTTAGAACCACAAGAAATGGAATCAGATTGGAGAAAATTGCAGGCAAAGAGAGTACCTTTACATTGCCAAGGGCTGATAGCTTCAGACCAGTCATGTCTAAGATCTTCACGCAGGTGGTGATAGAGCGTCCATACTTTTTTGATGCCGAAGGCTACAGCAAAAAGCGTACGTGTTAATGATACTGAATAAAGGAGGTTCGATTGAATTCCAGAATTTGGTAACTCACCAGAACAACACGATCCCGATACTCGTTGATTTGTATGTGTGACTGCACGTAGTCGTTCACCTGTGTACAGAACAAATTTCTCACTGATTTTTGAAGTACTGATTTTCAAATTCACAAAAAGGGTCAATTATTCATATGGAATATTGACAACTGAACTTGAATACTTACATTTGCTTTGTCTAATGTGCTGAGACCAACACCGATGGCAAATACAGGAAGGCCCTGACGGGAAACAGAACAAGATTCAGGTCAGCATATGATAATCTTATTAGAACAAGGCAGTCTAGAATTATAGGGAAATGTTTGTTTGAAATCCCACGAAACATTCTTTCTGCTGTGAAAACCTCTACCTAACCGACACGTTTTAAAAATCTTGAGAGAAAAAGTTCAAAGAGGATAATATCGGCTAGCAATGGGCTTGAACTGTTACAAATTGTATCATAACCAGATATTGGACGATGTGCTAGCGAGGAGGCTGAGACCCGAAGGGAGGTGACACAAGGCGGTATGCCAGCAAAGACGCTGGGCCTCAAAGTAGGGTGGATTATGAAATCACAATCGGTTGAAGAAGAAAACGAAACATATTTTTTTTAAAGGTCGAAAGAAAGTCCAAAGAGAACAATATTGGCTAGCGGTGGGCTTGGTTCATTATTGATTCAAAATATGATTGCTGGTTAATTGAGATAGACGTTGATGAACAAAATCAGACCTCTTTTGAGTAACCCGAGAGTCCCACAAGCTGTGAATCTCTCACTGCTCTGTAGACATCAGCAGGAAATATTGGCTTCTGCAGACAATAAAATGATATCAACAAAAAGAATTGAGGGCCATCGCAGTGAATGAACAGTTCAAACATTTACCCTTAATATCTTGTCAATCTCATTCTCCACCCTCCATTTTAAGCAGTCCACCAGCTGAACATCAGAGGGAGATGGTTTGTCACTATCTTAGTAATGCATACGACAATTTGATGTTTACAGAAGTTGAACAAAAACATGTTTCTAACCATTTTATGGGCTTTGCTGACATCGTATTCACGAGCCTTTAGGAAACGCTCCAGCGTTTCCGTCAAGAATCCTTGATGAAGATTCTGCAAATAAATCATTCAATGTCATTTACATGAACTAACTGCATTTTGATCTCTTAGAACTTGTTATCAGAAACAGGAGATGGCAAACCTGAAAGGATTTCTTCAATGGCTGATCAACTGCAGTGTCCCAAATGAAAAAAGAAAAAAGATCAAATGAGAATTAGCGAATGAAATTGAAGCAAGAAAACAGAGTTGATGAACTGACCATGATCCATCAAAGCCTTGAGTTTCTTGATCGCTTCCTGAGAATTGATACCCATCGTGAAGTACGAGAATGACGATGCTTGAATGCGACAGTGTGTGTTAGAAGAAGGGTCGGGACAAGAAAGGGAACCTAAGATCTTGCAAGTCACAATCTTTGGGGGCCAAGCTGGTGTATAAATACTAAAGGGGTCGCACACCGACTCAACGCTTCTCCATGACTCTGTCCATCTCAAATGCTGTGGAACTGACGCAAAAGTGATTGTCTTTTGCCTGGACTGGGAAAAGTAAAAAAGGTATGTCGGAATCTCAATAACCCATAAAAAAATGAACCGAAGAAGAGGAAAAAGAAGGCAACATTCTGAATGGGTTCTTCGTGTTTGTTTCCAGTTTTCCCTTTCGTCTTCTTTTTTCAAGATTCTCCACTAATAAATATACACCACAAACATTCAATCCTGGTCGTCCAACTGGTCGTTACATAAACCCTTTACCATTTGATTCCCAAACCCTGTTGCCACTTAATTTTCATCACAATAAAATGCCAATTCCCTTAATTGTTGGATCCTTCCTTAAGTCTGGAAACTTGATTGCTTTTGTTGACAAATCCGTTCATAAGGGTTTGTGATTCTTGGATTCTCAAGTTAATTAGGGACGTTCATTCGTGAATAATTTGTTGTGCTTCACTTGTATTCGGGTAATGACTTCTTTCGATGTACGTTTTGAGAGCTTGTTTAGTTCACGATAGACCTCATAGTCTTAAGTAAGCAAAACCTTTGGGTTTCGCTATCAAACCATAATATTCGTTATAGTCACTTTTATCATGTCTAAAAATGATATGACGACACGTTTTTGCCAACCAAAAGATAGATAGAGACTACTTCAACATTTCCCATCAACCGGTAATCCATTTTTTTTAATACCCTCAACCCTGAACTCCAAACCCTCCAACCCTAAAACCCTATCAATCGCTCAACCCTAAACCCTAACAACACTAAACTCCAAACCCTCAAACCCTAAACCCTAAACCCTAACCTTTAGTACCTAAACAAGCAAAAATAAAAATAAAAATACATCACTGACATTAATATGATATTTTGCTTTTGAGTTAAAATTTGACTTTTACCTTATTCAAAATTATTTCAAAAAAGGTTTTTAATTATTTAAAATAAAATATTAGAAATAATTTTAAATATCAAAATTTTTTATTGTATCATAGCAAAACAATGGGCTAACATGTAATAACTTAGATTTTTTCCTTTTTTGTTAATAATATTTTATTCTCTCTACAATATTATATAAACTAATTTGTAAAGAGATATAATGATGATATTTAATATAGTTTCCTTTAAAGGCACTTCATTATAAATAAAAACAAACCAATTCACATATTCCATTTTCTTATGCCAAACATTAAAAAAACAAACCAATAATAAATAAATAAAACTTAAAAGTTATAGCTTTTAAAATTAAAATGTTCTTTTTATGACAAAGAAATTAAAAAAAAAAAAAAAAGTGCAATATTTAGACCTAGAAAAGTAGACTGAACCGAAAGGCTCCTCTAAAGCTACATACACAACCAAGTGGTTTAGGTACACAAACACTTTTGAAAGGATTGGTAAACGAGGCCTATGAATCTCATCCAATTTTTTATAAACCTGATTAAGGGAATAATTCAATCGCATCGTATTTATAATTTTCTTTTTAATACAAAGAAATAATAAATAAATTAAAATTAAAATAAGCGAATAATATGTTATTCCATACGCAGTATTCAATAGTTGACATGGATGAGAATATAATGAATACAATTTTTTATAATTTGTTCTTGTGAGTCGCGGGTTTTTTTTTTTTTTTTTATTTATGAAATACATTCGTTAATAATTAAAAATAAGTTATTCCGATATGAATTGCTAAAATATTGAAATAAGATAAGATTAATAAATTTGTAAATAATTATGAATTAAATTGTCAAAGATTTAGGGAAAAATAAGTCAAAATTTAATTATTTTACATATTGGGCCGGTTCAAACAATTCCTTTCCAGTTGGGCTTCACGAAAGGCCCACTTAATGGGCCGGTAGTTTCAGCATGGGCTTTTACAAATATCTTTTTTGGGCTAAGCGTATTTTTTACTACATTTTAATTTGGACCCTATTATTTAAAAAATTACAATTTGGAAATAATCATATGATAAAATTAGATGTAATACTGAGTTAATTGGTAGAAAATTGGGGAAAATAAAATTTGAAAATTCTACCAATTTCTTAAAAATTTAGAAAAAGTTACTTTTTTATTTTTTTTAAATTAAATTTATAAATTCACTCAGCATTACATTTGTAAATATTAATACAAAAAAGAACTTAAATTAAAAAATAATAAGGGATATATATGAAACACTAAAAAATATCGAAATATTAAAAACGGCAATTATTCGGATATTCCAATGGTATTTTGGCACCATGTCAACTTTGGCTTATAAATTTGTGTACGCCACCTTATAATTAATATATATATATATATATATATATATATATAAAACGTTTTTTCTAAATTATTTATTTAAAAAAAAAAACATTACCATATATTTTGTTTAATTAAAATGTTCTTTTCCAAGAAACAAATTAGTCTCGAAAACTTTAAATTAAAACAATTTAATTCAAATAGCTACAAATAAAATCATTTAAATATTAAATTCAAATAACTTCTTATTATTTATATTTAAACCCCTTTTATTATTTATATGACATAATGTAGCCATAATGGTAAGATTCTAATAATTATTATTCTGAACAATAAAACGATAAAAATCAGTATGAGAATGAGTTTCGGACTTTTAGCAGTTTAATATTTGAATTTTATTTGTAATAATTTATTAGTCTTAAATTTAATTTTTGTCGTATTAACATATAATTTTAACAATTTTTATTGTATTAATTATTGTTTAAGAGTTGTAATTGAAAATATTATTTTGGTTGATTTTGCTATATTGGTAATTATCTATACGATGTTTTAATCAATTAAATTATATTTAGCTCAGTCTCGAACTCATAAATTCAAATTCTTGAGATTGGTGGCCGTAAGAAAAAATTAATTCGAATATTTTAATTTTTTTAGTTTAATGATTATATGGGATTAAGATATTAAGTTGAATAATATAATATGGGTGGAGGGGACCAAACCAAAAAAGTCAAAGCGAAGAAATTAACTGAACTCCTCATTTATACTTGAACATCGCTCGAAGAAGTTGGAAAACTGCAACAAACAGCGGAAACTGCTTTCTTCTTCCCCAAATCAATCAAAGCACAATCCCTGGTTTTCCTCCGCCATGTCGGCGTTGCCATCTCCGGCGGGGGCCGGTAATTTTCGCGGCAATGATGGGTTCGGAAGCGAGTTCAACACTTACAGGTACAACAGCAGCACAAGCGAGATAGAGGAAGAGGATTCAGCTCAGACGTTTGAAATTAAAAGGAAAACGGTATCGGCGGCGGCGGCGGCTGCAGGGGCAGGGTTGGAGAGCATTAGGGAAGATTACAGCCGTGGGTGTTCGTTCTCGTCGGATGCCCTGAAATGGGAGGATTGTGTTTATGTTGGAGTGGGGAAAAGCGATTCTAGTAATGAAGCGCTTCAGTGGGCTCTCAAGAACGCCATTACAAGCTCTACCACTGTTGTCTATCTCTTACATGTTTTCCCTGAGACACGTTACATTCCCAGCCCATGTAATTTCTCAATTCTCTGTCTTTTGATAGCTTTCTCTCCTTTAATCTGTGCGTTGTTTCTGTGGTGACAGTGGGAAAGATTCCAATTAATCAGGTGAGTAAACAACAAGTGGCTATCCATGTAGCTCAAGAAGAAAGCAAAAGGAAGGATTTTCTTCAGAATTTCATTGATTCATGTTCACTGGCTAAGGTACACAAAAGAAAAGCATGCCCCCTTTTTGCTAATCTAATGAATATGTGCCTTATCTTCTTAACGGAACAGGTTAAGGCAGACACTGTGCTGATTGAGAGTGACATGGTAGCAAGGGCTATTTTGGATGTTATACCAATTCTCAACATAAGGAAGCTAGTCCTTGGAGCCAACAAATCCAGGTACATTTGCAAAAACTCATCCATTACGTTAGGAATCACGAACCTCTACACTATGTATGATATTATCCAATTTGAAACTATCAGGAAGTTGAGATCTCGAGGGGGAAGTGGAATAGCTAACGAGATACTTCAGAAAGCTCCAGAATTTTGTGAGGTTAAGGTTGTTTGTGAAGGGAAAGAAACAAGCCAACTGGGTGGATTGCCCTCTCCTATCTCTTCGCCTCGCTACCAAGATGATAGCTCCAAGGATAATGATCCTAATTCCACCATTACTGTAGCTGAAGAACAACGAAACAGTTCAGTTTCTTGCATGTGTTTTAAAACTAAGTTTGTATGAGGAACATGAACATCGATTACCTTAGCAGCTTTCTTGTCTTGTCCCTAAAGGATCAAAGTTTGTATTTTGATTTTTGTGTAAATGAACTTTTATGGGAAGAGTCAAAATAATCCATTCATTACTTGAGCAACATTCATTTGAAACTGTCAACAGACAAGAACAGACTTACAGTTCTTCATGATCTATCAATATGATTCCTCCTCATTCTGCCATACACTGAATGTTTCTCCCTAAAAGAAATCAAACTCGAGATAGTTATCGGATGCTTTTTCATCTGCTGCAGCCGCTGCAATAGCAACGGCCTTTAAACTGGTCGATGCCACTGCGTGTGCGTGTGCGTGTGTGTGTGCGTGCGGTATTCTCTCAATCTCAACCGGCTTTGGGATTTCAGGAGGAGTAGCACAACGTATTAATGCCCAGTTCACACCTTCAAAAAAAGGATGCTGCTTGATCTCAGTTGCTCCACGTTCATTACCCAATCTTTGTTCTGGTTTCTTCACTAGCAATCCTCTTGTGAGATCCTTTGCAGCAAAACTCACAACTGGTGCATCAGGAAACCGAAGTGGCTGACCGACAATGTTGAACAACGTAGCTCGATTTGCAGACCCCTTAAAAGGAGTTTTACCAAATAGTAGCTCATATAGAAAAATACCAAAAGTCCACCAATCCACAGCACTTCCATGCCCTTCACCCTTGATGATCTCAGGTGCCAAGTACTCATGAGTACCAACGAAAGACATGGATCGAGCATCAGTTGGCTCTGCAATGAGCTCTGGCAATGGACTGACCTGATTCCCCATTTCAATTTTCGGTTTCCGATCCTTCTTCGACTTGCTTGAAAAGAGGCGAGGTGCAAAGCAGGTCGTAGGAACCACACAAGATGGTTGGATGCAGGATGGCTCAATGCAAGCAGGCTGCACGCAGTAGCCTGTGTTCTTTCTTAAAGCCTCAGACTCTGCAGAGAGATTTTTAACAAGAGTTGGACTAACAGCACAACGGAGAGATAGGTCAAAATCTGAAAGCATTATGTGTCCATCTTCCCTCACGAGAATATTTTCTGGCTTAAGATCACGGTACACAATCCCAAGCATGTGCAGATACTCCAGTGCAAGAAGAACCTCTGCTACGTAGAATCTGCATTATCAAACATACACAAAAAAATCAGTATCATTGTCAACATATATATGCAAATATGGCTAAGTCAGAGACAGCACATGTTAATTCAACATACTTCACTGCATGCTCAGGAAAATGCTTCCCTGGTTGCCTCTGTCTTAGAGTGTGCAAGTCTCCTCCAGGGCAGAACTCCATCACCAAGCATGAGAATTTCTCTGTCTCAAAGTGAGTGTATAATGTTGGAAGGAAAGGGTGATCAAGGGATTGAAGTATTTCTCTTTCGGTCTGCGCCCGAAGCGATTTTTTACGACTGGCTAAAGTATTTTTATCCATAACCTTCATTGCAAAATGACATTTTGTTCCTCTTAACTCAGAGAGATAGACACTCCCAATATCCCCACAACCCAACTTCTTCAAAAGTCTAAAATGGCCTAATCCCATCGCCCCATCTTTGGCACGAACAACTTGAATGGCCTCCCATTTCAAATCATTTGCTTTATGAGGTTTACTGATACTACTACTAAAACTATTGCAAGAGCTCTCCTCACTTATATCACTGCTCGTGCTCCCTCTACATATACTGCTCTTTACACTTCCATATTCTGACGTTTTCTTCTCTTGATCTACTGAGCTTCTAGCTTCATTGTGAGGGGAATCTACTTCAGTTGATGTTTGTTTCCCATTAGCCATTGCACCATTGGCTGTTTTTTGTGGCGGATTTGAGGAAGCTTTGGGACCAGCAATGGAGGCCATAAGGCTACTAAAGAATCCTAGAACCAATCAAAGTGGAAGGGTCCATTTTTCAGCGGCTGTTCTCCGGACCAATCTATCTTCCATCACCAGCCCATCCGAAATCTCCTTCGAGCCCACCAAAAGCAACGATTGATCTATGAAAAATAATGAGAAATGAATTAAATGACCCACACAAACGGAACAGAAGCGGATGCGTTACGAAATATATGAAATGTCCACGAAATAGACAATTGCAATGCAGCAAGTTCCTGGGAACAATTTCAACTAGTATAAACTGAAACAAAACTACAAAACGAACTCTAAAAACATGATGGACGACTAATATGAACATAAAAGAGCCAAAAGGCCAGATCTTTCTCACAGAACCACAGTTTTCAGAGAAATCCCATCACAGATCCAGAGCAAGGTCGCGACCCAGATGCGAGAAACAGAACCAGAAGATAAGGCAATGCAAAAAGGAACCAAAAGGAAAGAGAAGCCGAAAAGTATACCAAAAAACAAATAATAATAACAAGGGACTGGAATTGAGCGCCTTTGCTTTTCTCGGCAGCGTAAAAGGAGTGCTGAAGAAAGATGTCTCCGAATAGCTCAGTCCTGGGCGATATGAGAGTGAGTGAATGAGTGAGAGAGTAATAAAAATGGATTTAGCTGTGGTTCTCGTGGATTAAAAGAAGGAGAGGTAGAGAGAGGGTGAGCACTATCTATCACGCCTTTATACAATACAAAATCCTTCATTTTCAAGTTCACTAACAGAGTACTTTCTCTTTCCTTTCACTCCCCATGTAACCATTTTTCCACCATTAAAAAACTCACATAATTCTATCGTCTGGTTGAGATATTTAAACAAACCCAGTTGAAAAAAAAGGTATTTTTCAGCTGGAATTAAATCAAAGGAATCACTTCATGTAGGAGATTTGGAAAACTTACTTTTGTTGATTTCTCGAATATAATCATCATGATTTCAACAAAGAATAGTTGTTTGCCTCCAAAACCAAGCCGGGCTGCTTTGGAAAACTCTGATTTGACTCAGAAAATGAGAGCATTAGTCCAAAATTCCTGCAAGTTTTTCCCCCAGTGCCTGCTTACAGAGACAAAGTGCATAATCGGAATTGTACCATCATAATTAGTCTAACAACATTAATTAATTTAAAAAACATGCTTCCCTCTTTATTTAAGGTAATATAATTATGCATGTCCCTGTCAACTCGAATTTTAGGCAGAAATATATTTATTAATGTAAAGTGGGAAAGCATTAAAATGGTTTATATACTTTCAATCTAATCATGTAACACAGCTAAAAAGGGACAACAAATCAACTTTTGATGCCCACTTCCGTTTGTTTCTTCTTGGTCGTGGACAGCGTTGCCGATTCAAGTCACATTTCAGTCCCACTGAAAATCACATTGGACGAAAAAAGGAAAACTTATTAGTGGGGTTTGACTTCACCTGACCAAGTTCTAATCTTCCTCTTAACTAAAGCTTCCTACTTTGGCAATGGAACAACTTCTCTCTTGGCCGTTTTCTTTCATGAGCAATGAACAATAAGGGTAATTGTAACGAACTAGATTCACGGTTAGCAGATATTATTTTCTTTAGATTTTCTCTTTCGGGCTTCCCTCAAGGCTTTAAAACACGTTTACTAGGAGAAGGTTTCCACACCCTTATAAACGGTGGTTTGTTCTCCTCCCCATCAATATGAGAGATCACAATCCACCTCCTTAAAGGCCTAGGGGAAGGTTTCTACACCCTAATAAATGGTGGTTTGTTCTACTCCCCAATCAATATGTGACATCACAATCCATCCCATTCGAGGCCCAGCATCCTCGCTGGCACTCTTTCCTTCCTCGAATCGATATGAGGCCGCCCCCAAATCCACCCTCTTTGGGGCCCATCGTCCTTACTAGCACACCACCTCGTGTCTACCCTCTTCAGAGAAGGGCGAGAAGGCTGACACATTGTCCAGAACCTGACTCTGATACCATTTGTAACGACCCAGATCCACCGCTAGCAGATACTGTCCTCTTTGGGTGTCTACTAAGGTAAAGTTTCCACACCTTTATAAATGGTGTTTTATTCTCCTCCCCAACGAAGGTGGGACATCACACTCATCTTAATTCAATAATTCTTACCTTGTAACTTATATTTTTAATACCTACCGGAAATGTCTTTCTCGAGATATTTTCTTACGAAGTTTTGTTATTGCATCTATAACAGCAGTCCCATTCTACATGTCAATACCGGCAAAAATGAAATTTATAGCAGTCGGATAATGGCTAGGAGGATTTGAAAGGATCTTCTGATCAATCTAAAGATCATTTCGATTCCATGTCATAAAGAGATTCATTGAGATTCGTTGTTCCGGACCCTACTTCACCTTATCTTCTGAACTCTACCTAATTAGTCCCAGTGGCTTTGAACCGATCAAATTGAAAGCTTTGGCATCCGGCTGCCTATGCACTCCTTTCTTCGTATCTGTGCCAATTTATTACAAAATGAACATTGTTTTTAGCAATTGGAATTCAAATTCACATATAATTAAACAAAGTTATAAGAATCACACAGCTCCATGCTTAGAGGTGCGAGCTGTTCAGCCTGTTCCACGTGCTTACCCTGGTTAATAAAGAAGTTGAATCTATGTTTTAAAAAATGGCAATGGAATAATGCTTCACCTCTTTGGATATGCTCAAAGGCTACACTACCCGAAAATTTGAAAGAGGGGGCAATGGCGAGCTGTGACTTATATTTCTTTTGTTTGCATTGTTTAGTTTAATATTAACTATTATGGTTTCATCAGAATGATACTCTATTAATACACTTTTCACTTCTGAATTCTGACCAATAATAATTATAACTATTATTATTAATTTGTGCAAATAAATGCACTCATCATGTTCATGTTCAAATAAATGAAGGATGGAATTTCAGTTTCACCTTTAAATATATGCTTCTATCCAATTGGGTCAAACTTTAGAAAGCTTTTGCATTACAAAATGAAGTGGGCATCTTTTGTTGGAAAGGAAGTAATAAGAAATGGAGGCTAAAGGTAGTGGGACAGCCACATGAATCAAAAGAGCTTAAAGCTTTTAAATGTATTTCATAGGTTAAGGAAAAGGCTATAAAATTACTTACACATGTTTGGGTTGCTTGAGCCCTTACGTTCAAGGGCTCCACTCATAAGCCCACCCCGAAGCCTTTCATCTACTGCTTTTGCACCATCAACCTATTCTGGGAATGCAAAATTGGAGGCCAATCAGCTCCAAACTCACTTCATTAAATGGGGATTTGACCAAGTTTTGTATGTTTGTATTGCTTTTCTCGACTTGTATTCAAAATTGGGTTCTGAAAAAGCAGCTCGACAGTTGTTTAGTACGAGGAAAGACGTAACGAAAGTCTATGAAGATTACTCATCAAAACCAATGGAGACCCAGAATTGTTTTCATCCAAAATTGGCAAGAATGAAGATTGTATAATTGTATCGTACCTTGAAATTGTATTTGAGGAGAGTACTGGATCGCCAAAACCCATGAAATCCAGCTAGCTGCAGCTCTTTAAGGATTCCTTCCTCGCCTTGAAGGGTTAAAAATGTGACGTGTAAAGAGATTACTCATTAAAACCAATGCAGACCCAATATTATTTATTTATATGCAAAATTAGTAAGAATGATGAACACATGAAGAAAATCATTAAAAACGTGTTTAGTTGTATCATACCTTGAAGTTACCAGAGGAAGATATATGCTGTTAGTCTTGACAGTTATCAACTTACTGGATCACCAAGAACCATGGATCACGCTAGCTGAGCTTTCTATGATTCCTTCCTCGCCTGGAAGGGTTAAAAAGTTTGACGTAGAAGGAGTGTTGAGGATTGTGGGTAATCTCACCTTCGCTAATTTAGGGAATGATCATGGATTTATAAGTAAGGAATATATCTCAATTGGTACGAGGCCTTTTGGAGAAGCCCAAAGTAAAACCATGCTATTAATTTAGCTATGTCAATAGAATCCTTGTAGCGAACAAGACATCGAAAGAAGAATGGGACAATTTTTCTTATCGGGGCCAGAGTCCTTGTTGTCACACTGTCCAGTACCTAGGTATCCAATACCAACTCTAACAACCCAAAACAACCACTAGCCGATATTGTCCGTTTTGACCCGTTACGTATCACCATCGGCACAGTTTTCGTTAAGATAAAGTTTATTGGGGATGACTTTGGTATTAACAAAGAAATAAATATAGAATTTTCATATCTAGGATTTAGTGAAAGAATGTTGAATACAATTAAAAAAATATTAATAGACCAAAAACTATTCACTCAACCAGCAAAAATATGGTCATGGCCCCAATAATCCCAACAAGTCAGACACCTTGGCTGTGTAGTAATCTGGTTGAATATCATTGGAAGGGTCTTGAAGACTGGATTGAGTAGTCACCCCTGCCATAGTTGTGATACTCATCAATTAGCATCATTGACAAAGAATGGGACAGAAATCCAGATTCCAAACCTGAAAAAACAAGAAGCGTTTTGCAGCCTGTGCTCTTGCCAAATAGAATGTCTGTGTCCAGTCTATCACCCACCATGCACATTCTAGAGCAACCAAACTCAAATCTGAAAACCAAAACAGTCAATGGATTGATCACATATAATCATATTTCCTAAGTTATTTAGCTTAAAATCGAATCCATCGGACAATCGAGTGGTGGACTATCGTTATCACAAACCGGTTACACTATTTGAGATTTTAGGGTATTGATTTCTCCTCTTTGGACTTTTCCTTCCAGGGCTTCTTCTAAAGGTTTTAAAACGCGACTATTAGAGAGAGTTTTCTACACCTTTTTAAGCAATGTTTCATTCGCCTCTTCAACCGATATGGGATCTCACAATCCACCCCCTTGGGCCCAGCGTTCTTGCTGGCATACTGTCCGGTGTCTACTCTAATACTACTTGTAACAACTCAAGTCTACCGTTAGTAGATATTGTCCGTTTTGGCCCGTTACGTATCGCCTTAGCCTCACGATTTTTAAACTTTCTAATGGAGAGAGGTTTCCACGTTCTTATAAAGAATGCTAACCGACTAGGAGAGGACAACACAGTTTATATTTCCTTACTTTTTCAATAAACAGTCCATCATGAATGTTGATGGTTTACCAACCACAACGGGCTCCCTTTCGCATGATCCACAAACTGCAGCGACCATGCAACCAGCACCTAAAGCAAGAAATTAATAAAGTACATGAGCCAACCAATGTGAAATAGCACTTCTTCAATCAAGTTCTTGACATAAATGAACCAGGGGTTGCTTGTGATTCAGTAAAATGCCCCACTGCATCACGATTAGTAGCAATGAACAGGCATCCCGCGTTCTCACGAATGCAAAGCGTAGCGTACCTGATGATGCCATTTATGTGAAACTGATAGCAAAAAGGAAGAAACTGCAGTAATGAATGATTGAGTGCATATTGAAGCCAACAAGAAGAAGATAAGAAGTTTCTTACTGAAGCTTGAAATAATTAATACACCGATCTAATCCAACCACAACTGCTCCAACCTGTTCAATCACAATGGCAGATAAAATCATGTGTAGAAAGTAGAAGCAAGAGCTCGTTAAAGTATGGCCAATATGTCATGTTACACTCTTGTCCTGCTGAATTGGGCAGTCTAGATAAACATCTGCAGTCTTTTTGGCATCTTCCTGCACAAACATAGACCACGTATGAGGTAAGCTACAGCGCCCATTGAGCATTACTCAGAAAGACCCACATAACGTTATCTACTTACTGGACCACCAAGACCTGTGAATCCTGCTAGCTGAAGCTCTTCTACGATACCTTCTTCGCCTATCACATAAACCTGCACAGAAAAACAAAGAGAGCCGAGGGCATGTGGCGGTTTAAAAGTGTTTTTCAGATTACCGATTGCATAGCTTTTTAAAAATGTGATTTGAGCATGAGAAAAGTAAATCACTCCCAAATATGTCCTAAAACTAACTAACCACGAACGAGACACATAAAACGCGACAGCAACTACTCCTACCACACTCCGGCTTCCTTTTGTCGCATACTCAAAGGGTTGAAGTGAGATAGTAAACCATTTGGAAGGGCCAACTTCATCCTCTTCCTCATAAATCATAAATCCCAGGTGAGAGAACCATAAAAAATCCGCCGACTTCAACTATGGTGAGGTCCCATATCGATCCTTTCTTAATAGGGTGTAGTAGACGCATTTTAAAACTGTGAGATTAACGACGATACGTAATGGGTCAAATTAGCAGACAATATCTACTAGCGGTGAGCTTGGATTGATACAACTACCCTCTATGTACAATCCATATTAGATTTGGCCATCTGCCCCTCAAAACTCGAGAGGTACGAATAAGAAATCTTGAAGGATTAAAATCATTCATTGGTGAAATGAATTCATTAAACATGATCAGTAAGACTTCTCTCGAACACAATTTTAGCTATTGCAATCAAATCAACAAATAAGGAATACAGAGTTTGATAAGTTTGAAACAAAAAGTTTTCCACCCACCAACAGCTTTAAGACATCATTCTTTTTGGATAAATAATACAAGACAAACCTTCTTTTCAGGAGAGAAATTATTGACTTTCAAGAACATGGCAGCTGCAAAAGAGGAAGAAAGTATTTCATCCTACAAAAGAAGTCATGGCGACAACAGTTTAGCTAAGAAAAATAGTTTCCTCTGAAGTTCTAATCGATGAGACTGACCTCTGAAACAGAGATTCCAAGAGATTGGAACTTCTTTACATACTGCCTCCTTGATTTCGACGAATTGTTGGTGACAAAAACCAATTTCTTCCCCTACAAATGGACGACGGTTGTAATCGGAAACAAGAATTCATGGCTCTGATAATAATAAGATCATGAAAAGTGTACCTTAGACCGAAGCATTTCAAGCGTTTCAGCGACGCCATCAATCAGCTTATTGGCCTTCCATATAACACCTAACCCATAAAAAAAGACATGAAATCGAGAAAACATTCAACGATGAAGAACCAGAAATCGAAAATGGCGAAAAGGGAAACGGAGAATACCGTCACAGTCGAAGAGAAAGGCCTCGACAGAATCGATCAGATCGTGGACATTGCCGGAGGAAAGCAACTGGGCTTCGGAGGTTCGTTTGACTGAGCTCATACTTCCCGCCGGATAATAGGCACCGGACAGCGGACGAAAGAATAAGAGAAATTGTTAATCCTAATCTGAAAAGATTTGTTAACGTAATTACCTGTATTTTGGGGGAAAAAGAATTGTAACCGTTGCTTACGTCACTCGCATGAGTGAAATTTAATATTTTTTGGTTTGAAACTTTGAAGTTGTTGACGATCATGACGGATCCACTCTAGTCGAAGTATGGCTAGACCTCTCTCCGTGATAGACTAAAATAGTGAGACAATATATCTAACAAGTTCAAATGAACAATTTCTACCGGCGATAGATTTGCGCACTTGTAATATTTGTCTAGCGATGAATTAAAATTTAAACTAAGATAACTTGTTTTAAAATTCAATATGATGGTGTTAAATTAATCTAAAATTACTAAAAAACGGTCACAAATAAAATATCACGAAAGTATGTACCAGAAAAACCGCGAAAGTAAAAGTAGAAACGGTGGGTGATGAACAACCTGAATACCATTCGAATTGGGCAAGCTTCCATGATTTTGGGCAATCAAATCAATGATGAAATTGTAAGAAAGACGATGAAAAGGATTCATTCTGCACGAAGCTACTGCTCGGATCGGAAGTGAACGGCGCCGCCGGAAATGCACTGCAGCGGCAGTCCCGCTCGCGCATGGAGAAATTAGGCGACACAAGTTGAAAGAAAGAAGAGAGTTGTCTGTGATTAGCCACCAAAACCACCAACAAAAAGAAGAGTGATACAGCCGGCGACACGTGGCCGACATGCAGATCGAGAAGAACCAACCAACAATCGATGGAAGAAAAATCAGCGGAGTTAGTGGGGGGAATCATGATGAAGGCTGCCATTGGCAATCTTTGAATCTCGAGAATCACAGAGACCGGTAAAGCCTCCTTTCCTCCTCTTAGCTATTCAGCATTAAACCCTAGCTTTAACCCCACATCTGAAATCCTCACTTTATAATCTTTGGTGAACTTTTCATACATCAACCATTTCTTTTAATATTCATTTGGAACTATTGAATGTTTATATGAAAATTTTCAGTGCCTATCAATTTACTTGTTCTTGATTATGAATGATTTATTTGGGTATTCAATCATAGATTACAACACCATTTTGTGAAAAGTCTGCCTGCTTCAACTTTTCCATTACATTTCTATTCTGTATATCTTCAAGCGGTTATGATAGCGTTGCTTTTGATTATTATTAGGTTTGACTAATCAGGAGATTCAAACCCCATGCCCCTCTGCTTGTCCCCATGCACTCAAGACCCATTTGCCTTTATTTGGCGTGCTGCACCAGTAGATTTTTAATACCCATTTGCCTTTATTTGAAGCTTCTCGTCTTCTTAACATATGGCGCTGTGTGGTTGAATCTGAATCAAAGAAGCTTCTTCAGTTGTTTCATTCGATCAGTTGGTGCTTTGTTTGGTGCTCTGCAGCTGTTTTCCCGTTTCCCTCTTTTTCTGGTAAATTTTCTCATCTCTTCTTCTTACCAGATTTGGTTTGTGCCGAAACGCATGAATTTACTTCAGTTATAGGGATAATTTTGTCGACTTGTGAAGTAAAGTAAATGGGGTTTTGACTTGTGGAAAATAAACAAAACCCATTTACTTTAATAAGAAATATCCTCAATGAATCTTCAATTAAGCTGAGATCCCTTCCATTTTTCCTCTGTTCTACATAGAAGGATTCTTTTAGTTTCACCATGCTTGGCGTGGACGTTTTCAGAATGCTTCCAATTGAATATGGACAAGAAGAATAAATCAAAAACCTTGTCGAGAATCTATCAAATCAACACTGGAAAGAAAGGAAAAGAAAAACAGGCACTTACAACGCGCATATTCCTTATATGACTGTGTTTCTCTTTGAGAGAAGAACCTTAGAGAACTTTTCCGGAATAGCTTTCTCAATTCGTTTTTAGTTTCTGTTTTTCAATGATCGATTTCTTGAAATCCCATGTTTTTTTTTACCTTTTCTACTTAATGCTAGCTAACATTTCTGTACATGCCAATGAATCTGGTTGGGTTAGAACAGTTGAGACAATATACAGATCATCCTATTCAATTAGTCTATACGTTTTGTACTGTAGAGCACAGACAGCTGCAATAGCATGCTGTTGGAGGTTGTTCTTTTTAATTATACCTCATGCAGCCAAGAGTTGATAATTAATATAGCTTTTTGTATATGAAAGGGGCTCCTCAGTTGGATACTGAAGACCGATGAAAAGAAAAGGCAATTCTTGAAATGAAGTTTATGAAATTGGGAACGAGGCCTGACTCCTTCTACACAGAAGCTACTACCAGGTATCATTTCAGAATCACTCTCCAAAAACCAACCCTGAAACCTGGTTGACTAAACATGTATGAATAACACTGCAGGACGGTCATTTCCAATGTCCCAGGCAATATTGTTATATGCATCGACAATCTCAGTTACCTTCTCCACAAGGTAGGGCCTTGACATTGGTCTATTTCTTGACAGTTTTGTTAACAGTTATGAAACAAGTATGAATAACACTGCTGTTTTGTTAACAGTTTCAGCTTCTCCCGAAGTGTGGTCTCTTGCAGCATCTCTGCCCTGACATGGGTGGTTCTAACATTGCCACTATTGAGCTTCATGACGTTCCAGGAGGTGCAGAAGCTTTTGAGCTGTGTGCAAAGTTTTGTTATGGAATGACCATTAATATCAGTGCTCATAATCTCGTACTCGCACTCTGTGCTGCTAAGTTCCTCCGCATGACTGAAGCAGTGGAGAAGGGAAATCTTGTTCTGAAGCTCGAGGCCTTTCTCCACTCGTGCATTCTAGTTGGCTGGAAGGATTCCATCGTTACCCTACAAAACACAGTGAAGTTACCTGACTGGTCCGAGAATCTTGGAATTGTCAGAAAGTGCATTGATTCAATCGTTGAGAAAATTCTAACGCCACATTCCAAGGTTAGTCAGCCTTCTCACTTTCTTAATATTAAATTAGCATTAATCCAAAAATTTGAGATTATTGAATGTAAGATCCCACGTCAGTTAGAGAGGGAAACGAAGCATTCCTTATAAGGTAAGGGTGTGGAAATCTCTCCTTAGTAGACATGTTTTAAAAACCTTGCGAGGAAGTTAGAAGGGAAAGCTCAAAGAGGATAATATCTGCTAGCGGTAGGTTCGGGCTGTTACAAATCAGAGCCAAACATCGGGTGGTGTGCCAACGAGGACGCTGGGCCCCCAAGGGGGTGGATTGTGTGAGATCCTACATCGGTTGGAATTAAGGGTGTAGAAACCTCTTCTTAGTAGACGCGTTATAAAAACTTCCGGCAAAGCCCAAATAAGGCAATATTTGCTAGCGGAGGGTTTGTACTGTTATATTGAATTAGTACAAATTCAACCATTAGTTTCGTCTTAATGCTTCCTTCACATGTGATCTCGTTCGTTAATTCATTGAGAAGTTCAAGAAATGATATTCAGACTCTTGAGAGTAAATTTTTTAAATGGGATAGGAATAGACTAGACACAAACTAGTTCTAGGAACCATTGTTCTTGGAATTTAGCTACTGAACTAAGACGATTCCTTGCAGGTATCATGGTCCTACACTTATACAAGACCAGGTTACACAAAAAAAAACAATCAAAGTGTCCCAAAAGATTGGTGGACTGAGGATTTATCAGATCTTGACATTGAATTGTTCCGTTGCATAATTTTGGCTTTTAGATCCACATACATTCCACCTCCACAACTTATTGGAGAAGCCCTGCATGTCTATGCCTGTCGTTGGCTACCTGACACCAGTAAGGCCAAGCCCTCAGAGAATAAGATTACTCAAAGCAAAAAAGATCTGGAAAACAGTCGACAAATTCTTGAAAAAATAGTCAGTATGATCCCTTCAGATCGGGGATCGGTTTCAGTTGGCTTCTTGCTCAGGCTCCTTAACATGTCAAACTATCTAGCTGTGTCATCGACGACAAAAAGTGAAATAATTAGGAGATCAAGTCTGCAATTTGAGGAAGCAATAGTTAGTGACTTGCTCTTTCCTTCACAGTCAACCTCCAGTGCACACTTCTACGATGTCGACTCGGTTGTGGCAGTGTTGGAATGTCTTCGAGCTCTGTGGCGGAGGCAATACTCAGGGGCTGCAGAAAACACTCATTTCTTGACATACATTAGAAAGGTGGGGAAGCTCATCGATTCATACCTTCGGGTGGTTGTGATGGATATCAATATGCCTGTACCTAAAGTGATACAACTTGCTGAAGCCCTGCCAGATATTGCTCGCCCCAACCACGACGATCTCTACAAGGCAATAAACATGTATCTCAAGGAACACCCTGACATAAGCAAGGCAGATAAGAAGCGCCTTTGTCAAATTCTCGACTGCCAAAAGTTATCATCAGAGGTCCGTGCACATGCTGTAAAGAACGAGCGACTACCTTTAAGAACTGTGGTGCAGGTGCTGTTCTTTGATCAAGAGAAAGGCTCAAAGGTAACAAGCTTCACACCCACAGCAAAACAGCTGATTTCTGTCAAAAAACAGGCGGCAGTCACCAGTGACAACCATGGTAAGCTAAAACCAGAGCTCGACAACAGCATCGGCATCGGCATCATCGATAGAGAAGTAAGAGAAAGAAAGGCCTTGTCTGAAAGCAGTGAGAGGGATGAACAGTCAGTGAAGAGTAACAAAATCAAGGAACTCAAGTCAGATTCTAAGAGGATGGTATCAAAGGGAAGCAGATCAGATCATGGTGGTGAACACAGACAGATCAAAAGATGAAGGCAGACCGTGTTCTTTTGGAAGCTGTTTATTTATGTTTTCAATAGCTATAATATTGAGACCTCTTTGTCAATTGGTCAATTGCCAAATTTCTATCTATTAAACACTAATTATGTTAATATAATTTTTATTTATTTAAATAATAAAAAATTTATATGAAAAAAATATTCCAAACTAGATTAAGAGGCCAAAAATTTGAATCTCCTTCACCTCAATCTTGGGTTGGTGTTCAACGTCAATTCTTGAGTGAGAGTAGCTAAAGGGAATTGTCGGCCGGTGGGAGCCATGAGTTCGAGATTCGTGACTGAAATTCCCAGGAGGGAATGGAAAGTCCCACCAAAATTGATATAAACATCATGCGCTATTTTGCCTATTGTTGCTGATACTTTCCTCCCGGTTCCTCTTTTATAATTGGAGCAGGGAGAAAGAAGAGATAAAAGGGTCTTATCGAGAATGTGGTCATAAATTCCTAATGGATTCCGACTATAACTTAGATTATTTTCGTGCATGATTAAAAGAAAATAGTTTATTTTATTTAATTTAAGAAATAAAATAATATTTTTTGAAATATTATTTATGTTAAATAATATTTTCTTCATTATGTACAACCAATATGATTTCACAAAATACATTATAAAAAAACAACAGCAAAGCGTTATTTTTAATTTATTATTATTTTAAACACATTTTATGAGAATTTAAAAGTTTCTTTAAATAAATATATTTTTTCTATAATTGAATAAAACCTGAGGGAATTATAAATTAGAATTTCCTCCGTATAAATGCACGCCGTCCTTTTTTTTTTTTTTGAGGAAAAAGAGGATTAGTAGCCATGTATCAGAATTTTGGCTCAAATTCGATTTCATCCTGCAACGGTTTCTCTCTCCGGATTCTTTAAAGGTAAAACAAGAAGATCCCCACTTTTTTTTCTTTCTATTCATCTTCCTTTTCAGCCTTTTTGATGGTGCTTTCTCCTTCCTTTTTCTGGCGTTATTAATGTAATCTTTGTTTAGTTCTCAAAATTTGCTTTCAAGCCCTAATTTTATATCATGTTATTGCTCGATCGATTGTTTTTCTGTTTTTTTATGATTGAGAAAGAGGCTGTCATCTCGGATTATACCTTACATCTGAATTGTTTGCTATCGTGATTGGCATTTCATTTAGAGAATAATTGAATGAGATTGTAATTCGTTCCGTTTATTTTCATTTTGGTTATTATCCAACTCGATTCATTGCTTCGATGTTGTTGATTTGTTGATTTGGGATTAGAGGATTAATTCTAGAGCAATCTGAATCCTGAATAATATCTTTAGATTTTCCATTGATAAATCATGTCAGTTTCATGAAATAGTGCTTCCGTTTAGTGTAGAGATGCTGATGATTGATTGTCATGTTCGTTTTCGCATGAGCTTGTTTCAAAATAATTGTTCAAACATCTTTTTACTAATTCATGGCGCAGGTATGGAGTGTTTTGACATCTGTAAAAGATCATGGTTCAATGCCTAGAGGGAATAAAGCATTTCTGTGCTGCTGTAGCAAACTGTTGTGATGCAGATACATCTAGGCGACCTAGGGGCCTTCAAGATCCTGAGGCTCTTGCAAGGGAGACAGTATGTATGTTTCTAGAATTGACCCAATCATCCTTTTGATTTCTTGGCGTGGATATTTGATTCCTTTCATATTCCTTTCAAGGTCTAACTAATGTGTCACATCAAGGATAAATGTGTTGATAAGACCTTCACTCTTTTATTTGGTTGTAAATTTTGGCAGTCATAAGTTGTTTGCTTTCTCTATTGCAGTCAGTGTAAGTGAAATAGAGGCATTGTATGAGCTGTTTAAGAAGATCAGTAGTGCAGTGATTGATGATGGGCTGATAAATAAGGTAATAGCCAGTGGAGAAGGCATTGTTCTGTTCCACTTTCCTCTTTAATACGGTGGTTTCAATCGTGTCGTAAGATGATATTCTTTTCATGTTCGAACCACACTCGCTTTTCCTTTGTTTTGACTCTCCCTCTGTATCATACTGCAGGAAGAATTTCAACTGGCACTGTTCAAAACAAACAAAAAAGAGAGCTTATTTGCAGATAGGGTAAACCTTATTTGTTTGTATGGGGATTGGGTTTGTTCTTCATGAGAAGTGGTGTATGCCATTATTTTAGCACACTATTATCTCTTTCAAATATCTGCTGTTTTGGTAAAAATTATTGGATTCATATCCTGGTTTATTGCTAGTTTTTACTACTCACGACTTTTGTAATGCATCTGTGTAGGTTTTTGACCTGTTTGATACAAAGCACAATGGAATACTCGATTTTGAAGAATTTGCACGTGCTCTTTCTGTCTTTCATCCAAATGCCCCTATTGATGATAAAATCGAGTGTAAGTTTTCTTTTTGTTGTTAATTTTCTCACGTCCATCCACCAAGAAAAATGACACAGCTGTTGTCTTTCATACATGGTGTGATCAAAATATTTTGGGCATGGGTGAATGCCTTCAATTTTGTACAATCCATTGGAAAAAGGAAAAAAAAACTAATTGTTGGTGCTACAGATATTGGAATTGTTTTTTTGGTGTTAGCTTTCCTTATCACTATAGTCTTGTATTTTAAGTTAGCATGTGATCTCATGTTTTTAATAATTTGCAGTTTCATTCCAATTATATGATCTTAAACAGCAAGGATTCATTGAGAGACAGGAGGTAGCTTCTCCAGTACATTCTCTATTTCTATTTGATCAATTACCTTGCATGGGTGCTGACCATTTAAAGACTTATTATTATAGCAGCTGCCCTTTTTAATTGATGATCTTTTCTGAACATTTACGCGGATGATACCAATGATCTTTAAAGACTATCAAGGATCTAATAGATAAAGATGTTACAGAATCTTTTTACGAAATCCAATTTCTAATTCTTCTTGTACACCTGCTATCTTTTTATCAAGGATCTATATTACCAGTATTATTGTAGTCTTTTATACGATAAAATGTTTGTGTAGGTAAAGCAAATGGTTGTGGCTACGCTGGCTGAATCTGGCATGAATCTATCGGATGATGTTATAGAAAGTATCATTGACAAGGTTCTCTTCGTAATCTGATCACGTCTGTTAGTTAGTCTATTCTGGTTTAACTTTCAGTTGACCAATCTGCTGAACTTAAAACTGGATGTCTCTTGATAATGCAGACATTCGAAGAAGCTGACACAAAACATGACGGGAAGATCGACAAGGAAGAGTGGCGAAACCTTGTATCAAGGCATCCATCACTTTTGAAGAACATGACTCTCCAATATCTCAAGTGAGTGAGCTGCATTTTCTATGATTGTTCATTCGCTCCCTGAGTGATTGATTGTATTTCTGAGTAAGTTGATGATGTACTTTGTGTTTGTGTGGGCAGGGATATCACGACCACGTTCCCAAGTTTTGTGTTTCACTCGCAAGTTGATGATACCTGAGATGTCTGTCACAATGGCTGTCCGATTGAGTTTGATTGATAATTTCTTCGTTCTTTCCAAGTACAAATTGTGGTTAGGTTTATGAACTATAATCTGTGGTTTTTGGTTCTTAATGCTTTCATTTGTTTCTTCTTTTTTAAACCCATCGCTTCAATGTTCAAAGACTATCTTTACCCTTTATTTCATCTGCATTTCACCCAATAATTAGCTTTTTTCCTTTTATATATATTTATTTATCACCCAACATTTTAATTTAGTATCTAATCTCATGGTTAATAATATAATTAAAAAAACTATTTCCACTATATAAATTAATGGAATAAAAATATTAATTTTGTTTCAAATCTCGAATTAGAAAAACTAAAAATAAATTATTATGGAATGAAATTTTGATGATTAAAATTGGAGTGTAGTTTTGATATTTAAACTTTTTATCAATTTATTATTATTTGAAGTTTGATTTTGGTTATTAAATTCTTACTTTTGATATTTTCAAATTGTTAAATATTAATAACTTTTATTATATCGATATTATATTTCTTATCCTAAAAATTGAGGAAGTATGATAAATATATGTCAAATAGTTATTTAAACTTTAAAATATCTAATATGTCTCTATATATTTTAAATTAAACAGCTAAATTTATATTTAATAGCTTTAACTTTCAAAATTTAGATTATTAGGTTTGTGAATTAATAATAAAAAAAAATGATTAGGTCAAATATTTATTTGATAAAAAAAATTTTAAAAATGCAAAAAATTAATTTTGTTGACACAAATTTACAAATTAAAAAACGCAAGGATTAAGCTTGTAATTTGGAGTATTGGCTTGAATCCTCGAGAACTGAAAGCTGAGGACACGTCCCGTGGCGCAAGACGAAAGGGAAGATCCTCTCGTTTTCCGATCAAACAACAGGTCCATTTCTCCTTCCACTCCGCCGTTGTAGTCTCCTCATCTTCCCTCTTATTTTACTCTTTTTCCTTAATGTTTTTGCCCGTATTTCTCTATTCGGTTCTAGGAAAGCATCTCATGAACGCCTTAATTTTCGTTTTCTGTAGTAGGTTTTGCTTTGGGCTTAATCCAACTGAAGCGGGGTCAACAATTTTCAATAATGTCGGAGAAAGGCGAAAAGGGTTTTCCAGTGCAGAAGAAACCTGGAAAGTCTTCGCTCAAATCTTTGGCTTCCAAGGATGGTTCGTATTGTTAATGTCTTTTGAGGTTTTTTGTTTTGAGAATCACTTCGATTTTAAAGCAACCATCACGACTGTTTGTACAGAACTGAAAATTTGTGAACCCTCGTTCCTTCCAGCTTTCCATAGATTATGCAGGTAGTTTGCTAAATTTTTCAGAGCACATCATTAACTATATAATTAGTGATAATTTCTATGGAGCTGGGCATTTTAACGAGATTGCTTAGGATAATTAAGCATGATTGAACATTTTTTCTGGTGTCGTGGTTTCTTCTCTTTTACTCTTCATTTTGCTATCCGATGTATCATTTTCTTCCTGACTTGTTGCATAGCTTCTCTAAAAGGAAAGGATGACAGTTTGTCGAAGTCAAAGAAGGGAAGGAAAGTCCAGTTCGATGCTCAAGGTGAGTAGTCTTTTCTGTCACGCGAATAATGATACTTTTTATGTCATACAAGTCACTTGATGTACCAATGTTCTCTATGTGCAATCGGTTAGTTGTCTGAATCAATGTGCTTATTACATAAAACTTCATAACTAGGATGTAATCCTACATGCAGGGTCAGTTGATGCGCATATCAATCTTTCAATGAAATTCGGTGGAAAAAATGGTATTTGATTTCAGTGATCATTTTATTTTCAATTTTACTCTTATCTTTACTTCTCTACCTTCATCTGCCTGATATTTTTCTGCTAATGCAATTCACTGACTTTGTCTCCTTCGCAATCATGGCTTGCAGGTGACTTGGGTAAAGGAGGGAAAGGTATAAATGGTGGGAAGGCTTCTGTTTCAAAGGAACAACAACCGCTAGAACTGAAGATTGAGCAAGGTGGGTACTACCTTGACTTTGAATATGTATTAAGTTTTACCATTATTCATATTATGGAAGATTGATATTGCCATACTTTTTCTGTTAAAAAAAAAAAAGTTATCTTGAGCTGCCTTCCTTCATCTTCTAGTATGTGATGTCGACTGATATTACTATTTGGCCGTGCTTATGGGGTTTCAAATTTGAATTTCAGTTTTCCATGTAAGCAACAGCAACATTTGCTTTTGTCTTCTTGGATGTTTTTAAAGTTATTCTTCATTTTAAGAAATCTTGGTGCTAGTGCGTTCATCTTTTTGTGACTTCTCCCTCGTTCTATGGGCAACTGACTGTTTCCTCTTCTGAGGCCTCAGTTTATTTATTACTGCTGGGATAGGAGATTGGTCTCAGTATGCTATTTAATTATGCTGTTTATTGTTGTGTTGGTTTTTAATTGACGTGCAGAACTTCCCAAGAATGTTAAATGCCAATGCCTTATGGACTGTGAGGCTGCACAACTTTTACAGGGAATCCAAGATCAGATGGTTCTTCTATCAGCAGATCCAACCATCAAAATCCCTACGTAAGTGAATGTTATTAACCATTTATTGGAAAGAAAATTTTTCACGAGCTTACAAGCTTGATTTGCTTTTATCTTAGGTCATTTGATCGGGGGCTGCAATATGCTAAACGAGCCAACCACTATGTAAATACCGAGTCGGTTAGACCCGTTCTTGAGTATCCTTGATTTGATGAATGTGCTATTACGTTATATTGTTAATATCTTTTTATTTATTTCGATGGATGGAAACAAATTATATACTACTGTGGAACTATGCTTTTGTACCAATCCAGCACTCCTAGTGTGCTGTATAGTGCTCTTCTTAGTCCATTCAAACTCTGTTTAGTGCTTAACTGAAGCTTCTAGAACCCTCAAGAAATATGGTGTAGCGGACAGTGAGGTAGTTATATCTATCTTCTTTTTTGCCTTCTTAAAAATTAATTCCTTAGAATGATGAACTGACCTGTATTAATTTTAACGTAGATATGTGTGATTGCTAATGTCTGCCCAGACACTATTGATGAAGTTTTTGCTCTTGTTCCATCTTTGAAGGTACAGTTTAAGTTTTTATAATTTCTGTAATTTACATCACCATGCCATATGAACATAGTTAAAACACATATTTAGTTTCTATACTTCGATTCTTGTAGTGTTTTAGTCTTGTTGTAATTTTTTTTAGTAAAAAGTTGGTCATTCTATTTTTTATAATTTCCCCTCCGCCCTCCTGTTTAGAGGTCATTTTTTAAAATTGAACTGTTCTTAAATGATTCTTGAAGTGCTTTTAAGGACTTCTGATCATACAATTTAATAGCCAGTTAAATCCTGTTACAAAAATGAAAAGTGTACTTAGATTAGTCTGTTTTCCCTTTTAGGTTTTCCTTCAATGTTTTCCCTTGCCGCTAACAAACAATGTCCTCTTTGAGCTTTCCCTTTTAGGTTTTCCTTCAATGTTTTCAATATGCGTCTGCTACGAGAGGTTTTCACACCCTTATAAACAATGCTTTGTTCCCCTCTCCAACCGATATAGGATCTCACAATTCAATCTCCTTCGGGGCCCTGCGTCCTCGTTGGCACACCGCCTGGCGTCCACCCCCTTTCGGGGCTCAGTGTCCTCGCTGGCACATCGCTCAGTGTCTAGTTCTGATACCATTTTATATTAGTGAGTATCTATGAGTGTTTCGGTCAACTTGCATGCAGCTTGATTAATCTCATGGGACAGTCATTTGACCCTACTACATTTGAATTAGTCAAAACTCACGTCGATTAATCTCATGGGACAATCATTTGACCCTACCACATTTGAATTAGTCAAAACACGCATCCATTAGTCTCATGGGACAGTCATTTGAACCTACTACATCTGAATTAGTCAAAACATTTTAAAGATGTTTCCATAGATGGGGTTGGAGTGGTTATGCATGTTTGGAATGTTGATCCTATGACACTATGATTTATTAATTTATTTTGCTTCAACATGATTTCATACAAAGCAGAGCAAAAGAAGCAAGCTTACCGAACCTCTGAACAACGTCTTGAGTGAGCTAGCCAAGCTAAAATCATCCTGAAGTAACAAGGTTGGTTGCTTACCGTTGCTGGTGCTCAGGTCCGGTTGCCTTCTCCCCTTCCTACGAAGATTGCTTTATGGTGCTTAGAAAGTTAAAGACCTTTTTTTCCCTTTTCAATGCTATTCAATAGAGATATATAACTCCGGGGGAGGTGAAAAATAATTAGGCTTTCTTGAAGAGATCTGTATTTGCTTACTGAAATTGTTGATATATAGTGTAGAAATAGGGGCTACTCTGCTGAGAGAATGCCTCTCCCAGGTGGTGAAGATCAGATAGAAAACCACTATTGATGATCCTAATGTAAAGGGAGTCATCTCTACTGGATGCTACACATGTTTTGACTATTTTAATACCTCTGTCTGAACCAGACACCCATCTTCAACGATATGAGTTTCTTAGTTTATATCCATTTTTTTTTTTTTTTTTTTAAGTTTAAACTAAAAAATAATCATTTTCAAAAACTAATTTTATTTTCTAAATTTACGAATAAGAAAATAGATACAATTTTTTTATAAACCAAATGTTTGGAATTTTCATTTTTTATTTAAAAATTTACAAAATAGTGTGATTATGTAAGGATAAATAATTGATAATTAATTAATCTAATTTAATAAAAATTTATAACTACAATATTAACCAATAAAACCAGTTAGTTCTCTGATCGTTATTTATTAAATCACCATCTGGATTTAAGACAAAAAAAATAAATTAATAAAAGGTTCGGGATTATTGCTGCACTTTTTTTTAACTTCACTCCAATAATTTGGAGGCTATTTTTGTAATTCCAACTGCACATATAAATAAATGTATATTTAAATTCCTTCTTTAAAAAAGGCGTAGAGTACCGATTAAACAGTGTTTTCGTGAACTGTCATTTGTCACTTCACAGGAAGAAAAAAGGTTTCAAAAGCACGACTCCCATTGACTCCTCATCTTCGTTTTCTGATCATCGAGAAGACTAAGAATTTAATCGCCATCGCAGTTCTGGAATTCAAATCTTCGATTCAAATTTTGAGTTTTACGAGAGCGATCGCTGATGAAAGTGCCGGAAAACGAAGGAAAAATGGAATCGTCAGATGAAGACGAGGAAGAAGAAGTATGGAGGAAACACTACTCTTCGAAACACAGAATATTACTCGTCGGAGAAGGCGATTTTTCCTTTTCCCTGTGTCTGGCCAATCACTTCGGATCTGCTCGTAACATCGTAGCCACTTGCCGTGATTCTCAAGGTTAGATCATAATCGCACTTATGATTTCACTGTGACTTTTTCTCTCTGTGTTGATGATTCCATTTGTCCTGTTTTTCGATTCCAGATGACCTTGAAAGGAAGTTCAGCGACGGAATTAGGAATGTGAGGGAGCTGGAAGAAAGAGGATGTTTAGTATTCTACGGAATCGACGTTCGAAATATGAGTCAACATTTCTTCCTCAGAACACAGAGATTCGATCGCATCGTCTACAACTTCCCTCACGTCGGATTCCTGTTCCGCGAGGACAGTTTCTGCCAAATTCAGTAATCGATTTTCTTCTCTCTCCTTTGAGTTGAATTATAATGTAGGAATTTTGCTTGAAAATGGATGATCCAATGGAACCACAGATTGAACAAGGAGCTGGTGGAAGGGTTTCTGAGGAACGCTAGGGTTTTGTTGAAGAAAGGGGAAGGGGAGATTCATGTAACACACAAGGAGGGGGAACCCTACAACAAATGGGAGCTAGTGGAGGAAGCCATGAAAGCGGGGTTGCAGTTGCAGGAAACGGTACCGTTTTGCAAGAATGATTATCCAGGATATCAGAACAAGAGAGCCGATGGAGGTCAATCGAATGCGCCATTTTGGCTTGGGGATTGCAGCACTTACAAGTTTAAGCTCAATCAGTCTCCCTAAAATGGCGATGGGATCAAACAAACAGAAATTCAGAGAAGAATGGAAGGAAGCTTCTTCTCTACTTCTCTTAGCTTACCTGTATTGTCTTCTTGTTATGAACTCTGTCTTATTCATCTCTTTGAGACTCTGGCAATGGCTGTCTAATTTCACTATAATTTTAATTACCACCAAATTAATATCATTCTGATTAATTTGGCTGTGATTATACTTTATACTAATTTTTTAGAATAAGGTTATTTATAGATTTTGTTTTAATTCTTTGAATATACAATAAGCTCCTCTTAGCTATACATTTACTTTAATATGTTTTTTTTTCTTTGAATTAGTTTATAAAATTTAAATTATCACTTAATTAGTTATCATTTTTAGTCACCATATTTAGCTATAATAACTAAAAAATGATATATGTTTTTAAATTAATTTTCTTTTTTTGTTTGCTCTAAATTGTTCCTCAAATATTAAGAGAAATATCTGTATTTTTTTCGGTATTAATTATCTGTAGAAAAAAATGTTTAAAAAAAAATAAAAATTAGAAATTTAAAAAAAAAAATCGAAATTTACTAGAAAAATGCATCACAGTAATTCCGGCCTACGTTGTTTCCATGCTTTCTCGTTCTTTCCTTTAGAATTGCTCTCGATTTCTCAGATTTTCTTGAATCTACACGATGATCTTCGGCTTTTGTAGAGTTCTTTAAACACCAATCAAACTGAAATCATACATTTCTTGCGATTAATCCGTGTAGTCTGAAGCAGATCCTGTCCGAACAATGTCTTATGCTTACCTCTTCAAGTACATCGTCATCGGTGATACTGGTACGTCTCTCACCCTTCCGAACTATTGGATCGTTTTTCCTTTCCATAATGTTCCAATTGAAGATCGGTTTGCATTTGTGTTTCTCGAATTCTTGCGCGTCGTGTGGTTTCTTCGGTCTCGGCTTTTGCTTGGATCAATTTCATTATAATCCCCGAAATGAGATTTTTCCACCCCCGCTCGATTTCTATGATATATTTGTTGCGAATCACATTGTTCGTCTTCTTCAGGAGTTGGGAAATCGTGTCTTCTTCTTCAGTTTACGGATAATCGATTCCAGCCTGTTCATGACTTAACTATCGGGGTCGAATTCGGAGCCAGGATGATAACCATTGAAAATAAGCCAATTAAGCTGCAGATTTGGGATACGGTATATTCCCCTGGTTTCTCATTTTCTGTTTGTTGTTGTTACCTAAATCGAAGACTTGTGTGATTCTTATGAAGTCGAGAGACGGTATATATATATTCTTGTGGCATGATTTCTTTGGTAACTTGTAAATTTTCTGTCGCTTAGTGTAGGAGTCTCCAAAATATGCTGTCATTCTCCATGTACATTTATAATGTTTAGGGTTTGCATTTTCTTTTTGTGCATATTGTAATTGGAACCAAACTTAGCTACTTCCTCACGCTCTTAGGGTATACCTTTTCTATTGTCTAGTTCATAATTTATTGAACAAGTGGGTCCATTGATACTTTCCGCCTAATAAAGGCAAGCCACAAGTTGGATGCATTACTATATATGTATATATATTTCCTTAGTTCAACAAATTTTGGGATCGAGATAAAATCATCGATCTTTGGAATGGTAATTAATATTTTGTCCATGAGCTATTACTGATTAGTGTTTAGGTAACTTTTTGTTCCTTAAAATGCAATCATTCCTTTTTTTGTCAATTGGCATGATTTTGGACCATGTTGTGGAATCTGTGCATAATGATGATCTCTTGTCTAAGCATGAAATTTGTTGTATTACCATCTGGTCAAGATTTTTTTTCCATGTTGGCAATCCTCAGTGTCTACACAATTCTAATTGTTAAAAAGTTTGTACGACTGTAACAGGCCGGCCAAGAGTCATTCAGATCCATCACGAGGTCCTACTACAGGGGTGCTGCTGGTGCCTTGCTCGTCTATGATATCACCAGGTCTCATTTTGTTCCCTTTTCTTCTTGAATGACTGATTAGTATGCGAATGCTGAGTTCTTGCAAGTTCATCCTATTAATACTGGTTTTATATGCATAATTATAAAGATTGGACTTGTCAGGAAGTGGTCCTTTGAAGTCACGTTGAAAATGGATACCCAATTAGATTTTTTTATTGCATGAAGTTTTTCGTTCTAATTTCCCTTTACCAAGCTCCTTATTTTACACGAGATTTTGGTGAATGCATTATTCAGAAGGGAAACTTTCAACCACTTAGTTAGTTGGCTAGAAGATGCGAGGCAGCATGCTAATGCAAACATGACAATTATGCTAATTGGTAATAAGAGTGATCTTGCTCATAGAAGAGCTGTGAGCACAGAGGAGGGTGAACAGTTTGCAAAGGAGCACGGTTTAGTCTTCATGGAGGCATCTGCCAAAACTGCCCAGAATGTTGAAGAGGTGATTACATAAAATCTGTTTGTTTGGGTGTAAATCGTATAGTATTTAGAGCATTTAAGAAACTCAATCTCTCTTGCAGGCATTTGTAAGGACCGCAGCAACCATATTCAAGAAGATTCAGGATGGAGTTTTTGACGTTTCAAATGAGGTTAGCATCCATCTCTACCTTTTCTACGTCGACATACCTTTCGTATCCAATAATTTTGGTGAAATTAAAGTTATAGCACTGTATTGAATGTTAAAGATGACGAACTCTTGATTCGTTATGGGAAGAATGAATTGGATGTTAATGTTTTTAACCAAACAAAAAGAGTATGTTCTACTTGTAATGTAATGGCACATAACGATCAAGGAATGGCTGCATATGTGTTGCTGATGCTGCATTTTGTGTGATCTTCAGTCTTATGGAATCAAAGTTGGATATGGGGGGATACCAGGACCAGCAGGAGGCAGAGAGGGATCATCTTCCCAAGTTGGCGGCTGTTGCAGCAATTGAACCTTGAACCTGTAGAAACTAGCTGACTTCAATCTGTCTGTGCCTCAATTTCAATTTTTTCTTCCATTCTTTTTCATCATTTCTCATGTGCTGCAGTGAAATGTGAATATTGAAGCAAGAAGCGTCTGTGTTAAAGGAATAGCCAGGTTCTGTGAATGCTAGGCTATCATCAATCTGTGCTGTCAGTTCAATTGTAAATCAACATTGATTTGAATTCATTAGTTCATGCGGTGAAAGAACCTTTTGCTTCATTGGTTGTTTTTTCGGGTGGGATCGGACTTTCAATTTGAAAGAATATCTCTTTAAGATGTGTCATACATTGAGTTGAGCTATGTTTGAATTGACGATTTTGACATTTGTTTGTTACACCCTATTTGAAATATTTATAATGTTAGGGGAGTATTAAATATTTCTGTTTGATTTTGTGATAGAGATTATTTTATTTATTGGGTTCTCCTATCACTCTCCAAATATATATATATATATATATATATATATATATATATACGTTTTTTTTATGGGAGAGTTGTTGGGAATTTAAAGTAGAGAGGAATTATAAGAACCAGAATTGTAGAGCTCACGTGATATTTGAATGG